ATGAGAAGGAACAGCTAATCAAGCAGGAGGAGAACCAGGGGAAGGTAGTCTCCTGGAAGCCATGTGAGGAAGTACTTGTTCAAAGTGTCGGATGCTACCAACAGCTCAGCTATGATGGGTGAGAACAGGCCACTGAATGTGGAACAATGTAGTATTGGTGTAAAGAGAGTCAAGTAGATCAGTGGACAAGAATAGACCTACACAATAGACTTACACATGTATGATTAATTAGTTTTTGACCAAATTACAAAGGCAATTCAATGGAGAAAGGATAATCTTTTCAACAAATGGTGCTAGAACAACTGGATATCCATATACGACAATTCAATGGAGAAAGGATAATCTTTTCAACAAACTGGATATCTATATATAAAAAACTAAAATAAAATGAATTTTAATCCATATCTTGTATTACATATAAAACTCTAAACAGATTAAAGATCTCAATATAAAACTTGGGTCTTGAATATATAAAAAGTTCTCAAAACTCAATAATGAGAAAACAAACAACCCAACTAAAAATAGATTTGAACAGATACATATGGATGGCAAATAAGTGCATGAAAAGATTCTCAACATCATTAGGCATTAGGGAAATGTAAATTAAAAATCACAATGATGTATCACTGCACACCTATTAGAATGACTACAATACAAAAAAGAAACGAACTGTATCAAGAGTTGGTAAGGGTGTGATGCAAGTAGAAATGTCAGACATTGCTGGTGGGAATGCAAGATGGCCCAACCACTCTGGAAAACAGTTTGGTAGGTTCTTAAGAAGGTGAATATATACCTACCCTGTGACCTGGCCATTCCACTCCTAGGTATTTACCCAAGAAAAGGAAAGCATATGTTCATGCCCATGTGTGTACGTGTTCATAGCATGCTGTACGATTCCATTTATATACATTCTTGACATAACAAAAGTATAGAGATGGAGATCAGGGATCATTCTTACCATAAGCAGGTTGCCAGGAACACAGCTGACAGTGCCCTGTTAGGTTTCTAGGAACACAGAGCTAGCAGGAGGTTAGCCCAAGGCCATTAAAAAAACAACAATGTAGTAAAGGTGTTTACCCTTCACTCACAGCTTATAACAGTATTTGAGCTAACCAGAGATGTCAATGCGAGCTTCCCTGAGAATGTGATGCTGGAGTTGAGAGCTGAAGAATGAACAGGAATTAACTAAATAAAGAGGGGAAAATGAATATTCCAGACCTGGGAATAGCATGTGCAAAGGCCCTGTGCGGGGAGGGGCAGGTCTGAATGTTTGACGTGGGCACCAAGGGCAGTTTGAACAGAGCCACCCGGAAGGCCTGGCTGAGTTCACTTGTGGGGCTTGCTAGGCCCATTCTGGCCACTGGCCCATGTGTGGGCAGCTCTTACTGACCTCTTTTACTGCAGGTGGTCCCACACAGACTCCAGACAGGGTGAGGCTCAGAGGACTGCCTCCCTGGATGAAGCAGAGCAAATTTTTGTAGAGACTCTCCTTGCCCACCTCGGTGGGATGATAGATCACTTCAAGAGAAACCTCCATGCCTGCAGTGATATAGCCTTCTTCCGGGCTGATGGAGAAATGAGGCCTAAATTTTCTGACATCCCATTTAAACCTTTTCCAAGACAAAAGAAGATAAAGAAAACAGTTTACTAGTATCCTGAGGGTATCCTCAATGCTGCTGAGAACGAGACTTTGCCTGGGCTTTTAGCTTGGAGGCTCACCCCTTTATATACTCCATGAGACTGGGAAGGAGAAAGATTGTCGGGTAAAGCAGAGGCAGGTGCGCACAAGGACAAGGTCACTTCACTCCTGGGTAAGATGACTCGGCTTTCCCTCAGAGCTGATCAAGGAGGGAAGTGGCTGCATCTTATCTTATTGCCCAGAGTGACACATCGGGGAGCATGCACATGAACATGCGTACACATGTATACCCAAGGTCGCACAGCCAGCAAGTAGCTGAGCTAGGACTAGAATCCTCCTGAGACTGCCTGCAGGTCCGGCAGGGTGGAGGCAGTCCCTTCATGTGAGAGTTACACCTGCTCTTGATGGCACTGGGATCCTGTGTGGTCATCCCAATGTGGTCTGGCGCTAGATTCAGGCAAGAGATAAGAGGGTGAACGATGCAGCCAGTGTTTCCAGTGCCAGGGCTGCCACGCTGCCCCCTGCAGATGTGTGCCGTGCAGCCTGCATAGCTATGGTGGCATGAGGCCAGAGACTGAAAGGAGAGTTGCCACAGGTACACCTGGGTTCCAATCCCATCTTTGTCACTTCCTGGATGTGTGGACCTGACCATTTTGAGCTTCAACTTCATCTGTGAAATAGGGACAATACAGTACTTACCTTAGAGGGTCCTGGAATAATCAAATGGGATCTTTTGTACGAATGCTTAGCATTGCGCCTGTGCATTTTAAGTTCTTGCTAAATGCAGGATTTTGGAAAAGTTACTTAATCTCTTTTATCTCAGTTTTCTCATCTGTAAAATGGATCACTCACAGTGTCAGTCTCAAAGAATTGTTGGGATTAAATGAGATGAGCCATGTAAAGAGCTTATGACAGGTACTGAGCAAATGTTATCTGTCATATTACTCTTAGTAATCATGGCAGTAGCCATCACTGCGGACAGGCCATTGCTGTCACATTTTCAGGGAAGGGAGGAGATGTGAAGGGAGGGGAAAGAAAAGGTGGCCACACTTGTAAAACAAACGTCTAATTCAAATCCAGGGTCAGAGCTCTCAGCTTCCGCTCCTACCTTGCACCCACGTCGCCCGTGTTCAACATAAGGATGCGACGTGTGGCTTGTGTCTGACATATGACTGGTCCAAAGGGAAGATGCTCCTGGTCCAGGGAGATCTCCAGGGCCTGGCAGCAGCCGCTGAGGAGGAAGAGGGGGCGCAGAAGCCCCATGCTTTCCATGAACACTTCCTCAGAGAAGGGAGGTATGCGCTTCTTCGGGGCGAAGATGACCTCCAGCTTACAGACTTCTTTGGGCTTCAGAGTGATGCTGTGGGATGGTGTCAAGGTGATGACCTGGACAGAATGATAAGGACTTAATAGCTGAGGACAGCGGGGCTTCTGAGGCCACCATTCCTGGAGATCTTACTGCTGGGGCTGTAACAGCCCAGGGGTCAAATCTCTCTTCTCTCCCTTACCAGCTGCGTCATCTTTGATAAGTTATTTAAAGTCCCTGTAACTTAGATTCTGATCATCTGTGTAAAATGTGTGGCACATAATAGGCATTCAATATAGGTTAATTCTTTTTCCAGCTCCTTGCAAATAATTTCTACTCTCTGGTGGAGGAAATAGCAAGATGAAATAGAAAAACTTGGTGCTCTAGTGATTTTCTGGGGAGCGCTCCCTAGGCGACCTGCATCACACTTCCCAGTGTGCTTCTTACAATGCGGATTCCTGGGTCCTACCCCAGGTTGACTGGATCAGTGTCCTTGGGGGATCCTGGAACCTGCCTTCTCAAAAATGCCCTAGATGACTGGTGTATTCTAAAATTTGAATTTGTATGGTCTTCCTCCTTTGTTCTGGTAAAAAGCAAGTCAAAATCAGCTTTAAGGAAGCCAAACCCCTTTTCGCCCTTGAGCTCCCTTTGGTACAGAGCACTGAGCACTCACCAGCAAGGGGCCTGAGGCAGCAGGGAGTTAGTTACAGGCTGAGAAGCTGCCATAGGAAAGTGATCCTAGAGAGTTCCCAAACACAGTGATGTTGGAAACCAGTCCCAGGGTGATGGTGTCAGCACGGCACTCTGGCAGCTTGAGTCTGATCACCCAAAGAAGCAGAATGGGTACAGCCAGATAGTTAGGGGCCCCGACCCACTGGAACCAAGGAGTTTAATTTGGATTAGTGAGGAAAGGGAAGTAACAAGTTTGCTCTCTTACTCTGGGTGGCAAAGTGGGCAATGTGGGGTCCTGGGCTGAGGTGCCCACTAGGTCTCTTGCTTTGGCTGGCCTCTTACAGCCAGTTTTTCTGTATCCTGCATCCCCAGGTGATCCGCAGAACTCCTGCCACACTGAATCACATCGAGGTTTCCAAAAGCACTGACTCTTTCCATCCTATATACCTTTGCCTGCCAGAGCACCCTCTCCAACCTGCCTGCCTGGGAGACACCTCTTCACCCTGTAAAACTCAGGACAGACCTCTCTCTCCACTGTGGGGTCTTCCAGGGTCCCAAACCTCCCTCCGAGCAGCCCCTTCCTGGTCCTTGGGAGGTAATTAGGTGTAGATGAGGTCCTGAGAGGGGACCCTGCGGTGGTCTTAGTGCCCTTACACGAAGAGACCCCAGAGAGCTCAGTCTTGCTTACTCTCTGCTGTGTGAGCATCTACGAACTGAGAGAGTCCTCGTCAGAAACTCGCCAGGCTGGCTCTCAGATCTCAGGCTTCTGGCTTCCAGAACTGTGAGAAAATCAATGTCTGCCCTTTAAGCCACTTGGTCTATGGTATTTTGTTATGGCAGCCCAAGGTGACTAATATACACCTTTATATTTCCAGCACCTAACTCGTATTTACTGAGTAAGAATGAATTGAATGAAGTGGTGGATAAGTTCACCCTCGGAGTGAAACTCTAGGTTCATTTCAAAGGGCCATCCAGATACTGATGACTGTAAGATGGGGAGCAGGTGGCCAGCACTGGTGGCTTCTCTCTCCAGGGAACTCAAGGATGTGGCTTTAGCAACAAGCACGCTTCTTTTACACAGCTGACGGGTGTGTAAAGGGAGACAGCCTTTCAGGGAGCAGATTGGTGACGTGTATGGAAACATATTCTTCCTTTCAATGCAACAAGCCCACTCCTAGGAATCTGTCTTAAGCAGAGAGTCATGGACGCACACAAAAGTTTGGTTATGTGGATATTACAATGTTGTTTGTAATACAAAACATTAGAAACACCTGAAATGAGCAGAAATAGGGAATAGGTCTAGCTACATAATGGAGGTAGCAATGAACACATGACATTGAAGGACATGGAACATGTTTCTAATATATTACTAAACGATTAAAGCACGTTTCAAAACACTATGAACATTGTAATTTTTTTTCTGTAAAAAAAGTGTAGGAAAAACACTGGAAAGACGGGCACCAAAACATTACGTGATTATTTCTGGGTATGAGATTATGGGCAAAATGTTTTTTTTTTTTTTTTATGATTTTCCATATTTTTCAAATTTTCTACAATGAAATCTCTGTCTAGACCTTAGAATCCAGATTCACTGAAGCGTATCTCTTTCTGTTTCCCTCTGTTGCCCTTAGAGAGGGGGGCAGCTTCTCTAAGCCTTGGCGTCCTTACATGTAAAATGAGAATGAGAGCACTAACCCTGCTCTGTTTCCGTGAAGATGGTCAGAGGCGGCACATGGATTGCTCTCAGAAAGTGGAAGGTGCGGGAGACCCGTGAGCTGTTAGTGCTGCTAGCGCAGTCATCTGTACCACTGGGAGCCCTACGTACCAACCTTGGGTTCCTGGAGTTCTGGGACCGAAAACAGGATCGACTGGATAAATGTGAGCGGGGCCTGGCTGTTGTTCATGACGGAAACTGTTTTTTTCACAACCTGTCCTGGCAGGACGGCTCCTAACTTCACAATCCTATTGGCTGGATCTAGGACTAAAATCTGGGCGACAAAAAAGAGCAGGGAGGGAGGGTTCATCAGTTAATGGGAAAAATAAATATGACACATCTACCCTGGTGAGCCAAGGTGGTCCCTCTCTTTCAGAGTCCCGCATTTACTCGCTCGGTAAACATTTATGTGCATAAAATGCCCACTAGACAACTTACCACACAATTACATTGTTATAACCGGGTTAAAAGATGTGAAGGAAAAGCTCAGGGTACCTGGAGAGCGTATTACTGGGGGCCGAGCTAGACTGGGAGTCTGCGGAGGCCCCCCTGAGGGAGGCATGTTCGCACTGAGAGCTAAAAGAAGGGTAGGATCTAGTCACTTTGTCAGGGTGGGTGTGGGGTTGCAGAGCACCCCTGGGGGTGGAGACCCCAACATCAAGGCCCTGAGCCAGAGGGAGTGGCCCAGTCAAGGCCTGTGGCTGGGAGTGAGGGAGACCTGAGAAGATGAAGTCTGGAGGGTTGGTCAGGTTTTATTCCAGGAGGAGCAGGAAGCAGGAGCACCCCAGTCAAATGTGTATTTCATGAGAGAGAGCGCTCAGCTCCCTCCTCTGTGGAATGGACTGGAAGAAGGCAAGAGAGAAAGCCTTGAGGTGTGAGAGATGACCGTGATTTGAACTAGAAGGATGGCAGTAGAGGCGGAAAAGTAAATACTCTTCAAAATCCTCATCGAACAAAGTGTTGGCCTGGATCGGTGCAGGTCAGGCTGGGCCTTGCCTCCAGAGTGGCACTGACCCACAACGAGCAACACCCACTGGTCACTGTCATTCGATCAGTCACTAAACTGCACCTGTTCTCTCCAGCTATCTTTATATCTTGCTCACATGTTTTCATTTTGTCTAAAAAAGAGAGTCAGTCTCCAGCACCAGCCTGTGAGCCCCTGGAAGTCAGAGAACATGTTTAAGTCACCTCTGGATTTCCCTGAAGTACCTAACATGCAATGGGGCTGAGCGAGGGGGTGAAAGAATGATCCAACGAATGAATCAGTGACATCCGAGGAGAGCCTGTCACTGGCTTAGCCACAGACACACCAGACGGCATTGTTCTGTTGCTCCTCTGGCTTGATGGGAAGGATGCCAGAAATACACTCCTCTTACTTTCTCTTGGTTGCTGAAATGTCCCATACATTCCTGACAATCTCGGGAGGTCTTCGGTGTTCTAAAACCTCCTATTAAATGCAATGCTTCCACCAGACAGACACCTTAAATGTTTACCGGTCACAGAGGAGAAAGAGATTGTAGCAGGGCTGGACCAGTCCTTTCTATTAGGAGCACATGGTTAGAAGGAATGTTCTCAATCAAATATAATCCTGGGACCTGCGGCTGGCTGAAGAACGTTAATCACTGTGGTGTTAAGGAAAGATATTCCATAACTGAAAAATATCTGCATACATTACTTAAAACAAATCTTGCCCATTAAATCTGAAAACAAAACATGCCATAATGTGGGAGAAGAAGGACATGCTTGGGATCCTGCATCTGATAGTTTTAAACTTTTCCAAGAATGTGTCTCTAGTGCTTGGGTCCTTTGATATAGTAAAGTTTGGTACTGAGTAAGATCTATGGTTCACTTGAGCCTGTTTTGACAATTCACCCCTGAGTGGCTGACTTCTGACAGAGCAGCTTGGGGGCAGATGTAGAGAGGGAGTGGGTGTGGGCTCAGGGGGGCCAAGGTAACTGGGAAGGGCGAGGAGGAGGGGGCCGGTCCGAGGATCTCCCAAACCTCCCTTACCTTCATTGCGGTGCCTTTCCCTTTGATTTCAACTACTTGCTGGGAGAGCCCATTGATTTCAAAGGGGATGAGTTCTCGATAATTGATACTTTCTCGAGGATAAAAGGTGATTGGAATCTCCAGGGCCTTTCCTGGCTTTATCACATCAACACGGAAGTTCACCTCGAGGTGGGTGGTATTGGTGTACAAGCAATCTATGCTGGAGAACATCAGGAGGAAGGTGTGTCAGGTCTGCGAAGCCTTACCCGGAGGGACCGATTCCGTCCCCCTCTCTCTGACCTGGGTCCTGATGGGTCTCCTGCCCTGCTGTCCGAGAGTCATAGAATTTAAGGGCTGAAAGGGACCTCGGCAATAATCCAGCCCGCATTCTCCGGAGCATAGTCAAGTTGCTGACCCCAAATCACACCCCGAGATCCTGGCAGAACTGAGGCTCAGACTCAAAGTCCCATGACCCCTTTCCCCAGTGCTCTTCCCACTCTATTCCTTCTCTCTTTCTTGATAACGCAGTTCATGTTTTGTTCTTCTCATAAGAAGGAAGTGCTTCCTGAAGTAATTGGCTGGCAAAGCACAGAGGAGAGGAGTATTCTTGAGTCAGACAGATAGGAGTTTGGATCCAGGCTCTATCCCTAACTAGACACGTGACCTTAGAAAAGTTACTTAGCCATTTGAGTCTCAGTTTCCTTATCTGTAAAGTGGGAGTAGTGACAGTGACCTCATAAGGTTGTTGTGAGGATTACATGAGATAGAGTGACTAAATCAGTCGCTATACAGGCCACACAAGAAACATCCCATAAAGGTGAGCTAATATTATTCTGACTAATTGCTCAACTAGAAGGGATCTTCAAAGATCGTGTCTGCCCTACTCTACCCATGGGTGGGAAGGCACTTGGACCTATTACAACCTCTCTGTGGGCCTCACGTGCTTAGAGGAGTACAGCTAGGCCAACACGTAGAGCTTAATGCTGTAAACAAAGCAAGACTCAGATTAAATGAAATCATGCAAGAAAAAGTATAGGTAGATAAGATTTTTAAATTAGTATTTAAAGTTACACTCTTGTAACTTAATATTTAGGATTAGCACCACCACCACACCACAGCAGCAGCGGATTACAATAATTGAGCATTTCCAACATTCCAGGCACCGTTCTAAGTACTATCTCTAGAAGAACTAATTTGATCCTTCTAATAACCCTATAGGGGAGGTACTATTATTATATCCTGCTTTGGGCAAAAAGACAGAGGCACAGAAAGTTTAAAAATTTTGCCCAACGTCACATAGCTAGAGAAGAGCTGGGATTCAAACTTAGACTTGTGCTAATAATACAGTAGCCACTAAGTACGTGACGGTTTAAATTAAAATTAAAATGAATTAAAATTAAATACAAAATTCAGTTCCTCACTTGCACTAGCCAAATTTCAAGTGCTCCATAGCCACATGCAGCTGTAGGCCGCCATATTGGACAATGCAGATATATAACATTTTTATCATCAAAGAAAATCCTACTGTATAGTAGTAATCTAGAGAGCTTTGAATAAACACAGGTCCCTGGGCCAGTCTTGAGAGATGCTGTTTTGTTAGGTTTGTAATAGAGCCCAGAGACCTGAACTGGAACATTCTACACAGGGATGGTGCTGTGAGGCTGGATTTGGATCAAAAGGCTTAGGCTCATTATAGATCTACCATTTGCTGCAAGGTCACTGGCCTAAGACATTCACTTTTTAACTCCCCAAACTTCAGTGAATGGAAGCCATCTACCCGCTCATCAAGTCATTTAGCATTGCTCTCCTCACTTCAAGAAGAGATTTTTAGCAGAGTATCTCGTGGCTGTCCAAATGTCAGTACTAGCGGTGGGGAAAGGAGACTGGGGATTCATGCCCATCTGTGTTTGACTCATTCCCGTAACCCTTCTTTTCTTGTCATGGCTGGACTTCATCTGTGTGAAGGCTGTAGGACCCCAGGGAGCTGCAGAATCATCTGGAAGCTCTGGGAAGTCTGCTTACCTCATAGACGTTTCTTCCTTGTTGGCGATGACCAGGGTTTGTTTGTACGGGGGCATCCCGGCTTGGTAGATGAAGCAGGTCCCAAAGTCGTAGCTGGTGAAGGAGAAATGGATGGCCGGGCTCACGGCACAGCCTGAGATGCTGCATATAAATGTTAGACCGTGGCTGATCTGTGGGGAGGGAATGGCAGGTGGAACGTGATTAGGAGACATGGGAGGAAAGAGCCCTTATAAAGTCCTCAGGTGAAAGAGGGAGGCAGTCGGGCATTTAAAAAAACACAGGGTTCCATCTGCAGAGATTTTGATTCATAGGTTAGAGGTTTGTTTAAGAGAAGCAAGGCGGGTTGCTCTGCAATCAGATCCTACACTGGCTCTTGCTTTGCACCTGAAGCAATGATTCGGGTTGAAGGTGGAGGGGTATGGCAGAGACTGTTAGTTACTACCAAACATCTGATTCCCAAGGCTTCCTTATTGGTGGGCCTCTAATGGGTTGTCAGTGTGTTTAGGTGAAAATATCTGATTTCTCATTAAACATTAAAAAAAATTAAATTTATATTAGTTATATTTTTTAAACATTAAAAAAATTAACTTGATATTAGTTAATAACATTATACAATGTCAGGTATACAACTTTATAATACAACATCTGTATACTCTATATGTGCTCCCCACCCAAAGTTTAATACCCTTCCATCACCTTGTATCTGACCCCCTTTACCCTCTTGGTCCTCCCCCCAGCCCCTTTCCCCTCTGGTAACTACCATTCCATTGTCTGCATCTATTAGTCTGGTTTTTTTTTGTTCATTTGTATGTTTGTCTTGTTTGTTCATATGTTGATTTTTGTTTTATATACCACATATGAGTAACATCATACGATATCTAAGTGTCCTTTGATGGCTGATTGGTTAAAAAAGATGTGGTACATATATACAATGGAATACTACCCAGCCATAAAGAAGATGAAATATTGCCATATACAACAACATGGATGGATCTTGAGCATATTATGCTAAGTGAAACAAGTCAGAGAGAAAAGGACAAACACCATATGATTTTCCATTCTTCCTTGTAGCTAAGGGTGGCTATCGGATATAGCTCTGGCCATCAGGATGTAAACAGAAGGTATCTTATTTTGAATAAAGGGTCAAAATCTTGCTGGGAAAGTTTTTTGCCTTCAGTCTCTTCCCCTTATTTCCACTCTGAAATGCAGGCATAGGGCTGCAGGAGGGATGGTTATCTTATGACCAGGAGATGACAGAAATGAAGTCAAAGGCCAAAATGCCAAGGGTAAAAGAATGTAAAAACAGAAGGCATATGGGTCACTTCCTGGACTCTCAACCACAAGATAATGCATATGCCCATTGGTACATAAACCTAATATGCTCTTCAAAAACTTCTAATATGAAATTTAATAAATTGATGGTTAAAACAAAATATCTAATATTCATCCTAAACATCATTAGAATAAACATTATAACAGTCCTTGGTATAAGTTTTCATAAATGACTTCATAAATTTAAAAACATTTTCTTATTTAAGGCTTTTATTGATCTATCTATAGATTTTATTTATTTATTTGTTTGTTTATTTGTTTGTTTGTTTATAATGGTGGGTTTAATCTGCGACCTTGTTTCTAGGTTGCAAAGAGGCAAAAATATTTCAAGATACCAGAGATATTTCCATAACAAAATAATTAACATATTTCTTTATATATTCAGCTAGCCAGGCTGGAAGACATTTTCTTACTAACAAGGTTGTCATTTTCTATTTCTTTTTTCTTTTTCAGTTAGAGTTGACATTCAATATTATTTTATATTAGTTTATATTATATAGTGGTTAGACACCTATGTAATTTATGAAGTGATCTTCCCGATTAGTCTAGTACCCACCTGGCACTATACATGGTCATTATAGTATTATTGACTATATTCCCTATGCTGTACTTCACATCCCCATCTTATTTAAGGCTTTTAAAATCTTTACATTTTGTGAGTGATTTTCTGAAAAAAGGTTAAAATTTACTACCTTCATCTTTTCTGTCAATTAGAGTAGGAAGATCTATGAAATTTAATGTTTCTTTTTGCTGTAAGAAATTAAAGTCTGAAAAAGCCCCTTCTGAGGCCACATGTCTGGAAATTCTCAGGGGAGGTAGCTGTAACTCTGCCACTGGGTTCCAGGCTAGAAGTTTTAGTTTTGTTTTTAGACTTCGCTATGATTTAATTTCCCTCTAAATTATGGAATTCACCTTGGGTTCCAGTTGTTTTACCCTGATTCACAGCCCCCTGTGAATCAACTTCTTCTTAAGGAGTTGAATAAAGATAATCTTTTCATCAGATTGTTTCTTTTGTTGTACAGAAGTTTTTTAGTTTGAGGGAGTCTCACTTTTATTTTTTTTTTTTCTTGCCTGTGTTTTTGGTGTCAAATCCATGAAAACATGCCAAGACCAATGTCATGAAGCTTTCCCCCTATGTTTTCTTCTAGGAGTTCTACAGTTTCAGGTCTTTAAGTCTTTAATCCATTTTGAGTTGATTTTTGTGTATGATGTAAAAGGGTCCAATTTCATTCTTTTGCATGTGGATATCCAGTTTTCCCAACACCATTTGTTGAAGAGACTGTCCTTTCCTCACTGTGTATACTGGGCACCCTTGTCAGAGATCAGTTGACTATATATGTGTGAATTTATTTCTGGGCTCTCTATTCTGTTACATTGGTTTATATGTCTGTATTTATGCCAGTATTATATAATTTTGATGACTGTGGATTTGTAATATATTTTGAAATCAGGAAATGTGATGCCTCTAGTCTTGTTCTTTCATAGGATTGATTTGGCTATTTGTGGTCTTGCATGATTCTGTATGAGTTGTAGAATTGTTTTTTCTATATCTGTAAAAAATGCCATTGGGATTTTGATAGGGACTTCATCGAATGGGTGATATAGACATTGTAATATTAAGTCTTCCAATCTATGAACACAGGAAGTCTTTCCATTTCTTCGTATCTTTAATTTCCTTCATCAACATTTTGTAGTTTTTAATATACAAGTATTTCGCCTCCTTAAATTTATTCCTAAGAATTTTATTCTTATTTTAGTGCTATTATAAATGGATTTTCATAATTTCCTTTTCAGATAGTTTGTTGTTAGTGTACAGAAAAGCAACTGATTTTTGTATGTTGATTTTGTATTCTGCAACTTTACTGAATTCGTTTATTAGTTCTAACAGATTTTTTTGTGGAGATTAAAAAAAAATGCTCCTAGGATTGCTGCAAGCCTGTGGTTAATTTTGAGAGTCCCGAAAAAGTTGATTTTGATAGTTTTTGCCAGTGTTGCTATGGAAGAGCAGCTTTTTCAAAGCTCTCTCTCTCTCCGCCTCCCAAATATCTCCCTTATTTATTTTAATGCATGATATTCCAGTGCACGGATGGTCAACTGCTTTTCAATTGACACTTACTCACCAGGCACCTCCACCATGGTTGAGGCTGTTATAACAGAGATTGCGGGACTATCTCCACGACAGAACCACTCTCCAGAAGCTTCTGGCGGGGTGGAGAAGACCAGGAGCACACAGGAGAGTTAATTTGCCAAGACAGAATACTGTGTGAGTGCATTCAGTGCTGGCCATGTTAAATGGTCTCACCTTGATTCTGAGTTCTAGGCCCTTCAAGACACACTTCTTAAACGGATGGAAAGACAGGGAGGCAGCTGTACTCTGCCCTACATCCACACTGCCATCGATGGGTGAAAACTCCAAGTATTGCAGCAGGGCTTTGGGGCCAGATAGCTCTGCCTGGAAGCTGAAGGTGAACTTTCCAGTGTTGATAAAGGTGAATTCACACCGGACACATTCATTCAACTCCACCTGAGAGGCAGACAACAGAGCAGCATGTTGAGTGAATGCAAACCATGGTTTCATCTCTGGGATCAGGGTATGTAACATGTTGGGGGAAAATATCTTTTGAGAAATAGGAATGGCAGGTGATGTTAGTGAGTTGAGTATGATTAGATTAACGTGGTCAGATATTCCATCGAGAGCTACTAAGTGTTGGGGAGCCTCTCCTATCTGAAGAGTAAGATTGCAATCTCATCCTTAGACCTCCCTTGAAAGCCAAACATCCGTCCTGTATATTTAATATAAGCATTCTTCCCCTTCCCTACCACCTCTCCACCCCCGAAAAATAAAATAAAATAAAATAAAATAAGATAAAATAAATAAAACAAAATAAAAGGTTTTACATCAAAACTGTACACATTCTGGGGATGGAACTGCTCCTGGCATGTTTCTGTTCTTCTGGTTTCCCTGGCATTTGAAACAGAGAGATTCAGCTAATATTCATGGGTACTGCCTTTCCCAGTCAGTGTGGAAACCAAGAGAGAACAAGGCTCTTTCACACCTTTACCTCATAGAAGTTGACAATGGTGATCTGGTTGGAAGTCAAGAGAGTGCTCAAGCCAGTCCTGTCTTTGCACTTGATCTGTGCTTTCATAGTGTAGCCCTCAGCCTTGACATTTAAGGTCAAAGGGTGGGCTTTGTTTTTCACATTGCAGATCAAATTAAAGTTCACATCTCTTTCTTGCTTTGGTGTGAAGAAAATATCAATTGGTAACCTGGTCGGGGAAGAAGATAGCAGATTAGCTGACTAAGCCACTAGTTAAGACCTGCTAAAGAACATATGCCCAATGGATTAGCAGATACGCTATGAGGAAAAGGCATCATGACTCTAAATTATGATGAATTTTGGAGATTTGCCAGGTGAAGCAGGGCACTGCTTTATAAATTCACAAGTACAGTAGACAGTAAGGAAAAGAATATAAGGGAAAATATTGAAAACAAGGGCTTAAAATTCTAAATACTTCACAATTCATCAGGAAAATGAACAATAGGGAGTGAATAGGACAGAGATGGAACTGTTAATATCTAAATTTTAAAGGTGGAAGACTACAAAAGGGGCACTCTAAGGGAAACTGACTCTCCTGGCTGGCAGGCCTGGGGCTCCTACCATGTGGGGAGGTACAGTCCTAGGGGCCTTCTTTTTTCCTTACCTGGACAGTGGTGGAAGCCAGCCTTCCATAGGACATACGACCAGGTTGTCACTGAAACCCTCAGAATATCGGGAGTTGTCTTGAAAGGCAAAACTGAAGCCCTGTTCCTCCCTGTTGATGATCTGCACGGTCTCCCTGGCTTCCCGGCCTGAGGAGGAAATGCCGGTTCTCAGTGGTGTCCTCACACCTGCTCCTGAAGCATTCTCAACAGACGCCGCTCCGCAGGCAAGAGGAAGCCTCCTTAGAAGAGGTTCTCCAATTTCCTTTCTCTCCTCTTCCAAGCTTCTCAGCCTTCGACTACCCTTTTTCCATCCTTCTGCTTTACCAGTGACCTTCCTCCTCTGGAGGTAATTCTACCTCTTTCTTCTAGAACTTTACTCCATCAATTCCCTGCTCCTGGTATGTGGTCCTCTGCCTCAGCCACAGCTCTCCTGGGATTCTGGCAACACTGTTTTCCCTCCTTGTTCCTTCAGATTCGATGCCTTCCTGCTTTTGCTAATGGGGGCTTCACCCTCCCTGGTAGGCCCCTTAACTCTGCCCATATCTTTGTAAATAATCCCTGCATTGAACTCTTTAAATCAGACCTAAGGTATGTCATGAGTATCCTGTCAGGCCCTAATCCATCTCCTATCACTATTTTGCTTTTTCTTACTTTCTTCGACTATTGCAGAGGATTTATTTTTCCACATACGCTTTTGAATCATTTTAGCCAATTCTTCCTCCACCCCTGCATTCCTTTTAGGATTAAGGTTAACAGATTAAGCACATAATTTTTTAGTATAAGCATGTCCCAAATATTGCATGGGACATACTTATACTGACATATTTATACTAAAAATTATTCACAGGTACCTAAAATTCAAATTTAACTGGGTGTCTATATCTTACCTGGTAACTCTAGTTGGGATTCTAATGGAATTTGATTAAATTTACATTTAATTTTGGGAGAACTGACAAATATTCCGATCTTGTTTGGAGGCATTTTAATAAGATTTTATAGTTTTCTTCATATAGGTCCTTGGCTTTTCTTGTTATGTTTATTCTTAGATATTATATAGGTTTTGTCAATAGTGAATAGAATTTTTTGTTTCTGCTTCTAGGTGCTTACTGCTGAAAGAAAAACAATTGATTTTTGTATATCTGTCTTGCATCCAGCCACTTACTAAATGATCTTGTTGATTCTAGTAGTTTATTTTGCTTTTCTCTAGAGCCTTTTGAAGTTTTCTATGTATGAAGTAAATCAGCAACAGCCAAATGAGATAGTTTTGTCTTTTCCCCCAGTATTTATGCCAAATATTTAATTTTCCTGTTTTGTTGTATTTGCTAAAGTCACTAAGAAAGTGTTCAATAATAATAGTGATAATGAACATCCTTGCCTAATTCCTGATTTTAATTGATATGGTTTTAGTGGTTTATTACAAGATAACATTTGCCTCTTGATTTTGGTTAATTTTCTTCACTCAAGTGTTTTTCCCTATTCCTCTTTTCCTGTTAGAGTTTTTGTTGAGAATGTCTGCTGAATTTTAGCAATGACTTTTCAGTATGTATTAATATGATCACATGGTTGTTCTTCTTTAATCTGTTAATGTAATGATTATATTGAAATGTACTACTCTTGCATTCTTAGATTAAATTCTTTTTGTCTTGCTGTTATTATTCTTATGATACACTCCTCACTTATTTATTCAAAACCTTACGAAACACCATAATCTCCTTCTGCCTACTTATATGTTATCAGTATAAGATATGTATGGAGATAGTACACATCAAACCGTTAACTTTGGTTTTCTTTGATGGAAAGAGAAGAATGAGAGAGGATGGGTGGGAAAAGATTATTAAATTGTTCCGTATATAACACTACATTGATTGGTTTATTATGAATAATATTACTTTTATAAATAAAAAATTGAATGAATTACTAAAAAATCCTTTGCTGTATTTTACACACACACACAGATACACACACAAACACCACACCACATCTATGTCATAGAGTCATAGGGTTCTAAGTGACCTGGCAATCACTTCCTTTATTTACTTCAGGTCTCTGCTCAAAAGTCACCTTCCCACTGTCAACTGGCATTCTTTATTTCCCCTACCCTGCTTTATTCTTCGCTACAAGGCTTATCAACATCTGACATGCTATATATTTTGTTGATTTATTTTTTGGTAATCTGCTTCCTATTCCTAGAATGTAGCCATCACAAGAGTAGGAACTTTGGCTTTCTCTATTGCATTCCCAGCTCACAGAAAAGTGCTCAGGTTATACATGGGGCTTGATAATATTTATTGAAATAAGTGCATGAAAGGACGGCAGAGAAATATGACCACTGTGGCACACACCAAGAATCAAAGAGGTACAGCCCATACTCTGGGGGCACACACAAGTAGGATGGAGCTGACATGAGGCTCTGGAAATGAAGATGGTCAGTGCGGGCCCTAAAGGAATCTTCTAAGTAGGATCTGTAGCAAGGTTCCCAAATTTCCTTTGGTTACTAGCGTGTGGATTTAGAAGATGCTTGATGGAAATTAGATTGAGATGTAAATATTTTGTGGCTTTGTGAACAGTGAGAAAAGCCCTCTGACATGCTTCTGGAAGACACCAGGACAAGTCCATCACCCAAGTTTGCTCCTGACGTACACAGGAGGCGTTGGTCCCACTCCCTTCCCCTATAGGTTACGCCAACTCTAAATGTTAACCAACAAGGCAGCCTTACCGATGAGGAGACAACTGAAGTTGAGGTGTGATTTGTTCAGATTGATGAGAGGGTCAGAGGCTTTGCCTACCAGCAGGAAAGGGACTGTGATGTTGTGTTCGGGGATTAAGAAAGTCCAGAATGCTTCCGTGATGTCCAGATGGGAAGGCGTGAACTGGAAGACAATCTAAGAAGACAGTTTGGAACAGAGTGGTAAGAGACGCTCCTGTTTATTTACCCTGTGTGCCCTCGGAGGCTTGTCAGCACTGAGGTTTATGATGGCTGACATTACCAGATCATCACTACCTTTCTAACCTCTCTGAAGGGCATGTACAATTTGGCTCTTCCAGCAACATCAATGTGTTTGCTGTTTGCTCACAGGTCTTTCTAAGGGGACGTACCCCATCCACATTCTCTGTTGGCCAGGCTGCCGTATTTCATGTATTTGGATGGTATGTAGACATAGAGAGATTTAGATAGATATTTGGAATTTTGACTTTCACCAAAAAGTTTGGGAGAGTTGGCAACCCTGGGGTCCACTTGTCTGTGTGGTAGTCATCTGCCGGAGCACTGTGGCCAGCCAGTTCTGGTGCCCAGCATTACCTGTCATTGTTCCCTGGGCCTGCTTCCTTCCTTTGTAGGACCTTCATGAAAGCACCTGAATTTGTAATTTCTGTTTCACAGATTTATTTCTGCCTCCAAGATTCTCTGCAGGACTTATAGGACACGGGGACTGCAGATCTGTTTTGAGCAGCGAGTTCATATTTCGTTAAGTCTGATCCCTTAAACTATATCACTATGTCAACAACAGGACTAAGAGATGGGACATGATTCCCTTTTTTGGTCTTGCCCTTTGGCCTGACCGAGTGAAGACACATCTGTGTCCTTTCACTGCTGTCAGTCCTTCGGACAAAAATAATGCTTCGATTCATGTCAACGCCTAGAGTCTTCAGGCGTTGGTGTCCAGCTCCCCTTTCCTGCTTTAATAATCTAATTTTTCAAAACTGCAAATACCAGAGGTCTCTTTTTCTCACGGCCAACCAAGAGAGCTCAGGTCTGTCTCGTTCATGAGGACTGCCTAACGCATATAGTAGTTTTATTTAGAAGATGCTTGATGGAAATTAGATTGAGATGTAAATATTTTGTGGCTTTGTGAACAGTGAGAAAAGCCCTCTGACATGCTTCTGGAAGACACCAGGACAAGTCCATCACCCAAGTTTGCTCCTGACGTACACAGGAGGCGTTGGTCCCACTCCCTTCCCCTATAGGTTACGCCAACTCTAAATGTTAACCAACAAGGCAGCCTTACCGATGAGGAGACAACTGAAGTTGAGGTGTGATTTGTTCAGATTGATGAGAGGGTCAGAGGCTTTGCCTACCAGCAGGAAAGGGACTGTGATGTTGTGTTCGGGGATTAAGAAAGTCCAGAATGCTTCCGTGATGTCCAGATGGGAAGGCGTGAACTGGAAGACAATCTAAGAAGACAGTTTGGAACAGAGTGGTAAGAGACGCTCCTGTTTATTTACCCTGTGTGCCCTCGGAGGCTTGTCAGCACTGAGGTTTATGATGGCTGACATTACCAGATCATCACTACCTTTCTAACCTCTCTGAAGGGCATGTACAATTTGGCTCTTCCAGCAACATCAATGTGTTTGCTGTTTGCTCACAGGTCTTTCTAAGGGGACGTACCCCATCCACATTCTCTGTTGGCCAGGCTGCCGTATTTCATGTATTTGGATGGTAGGTAGACATAGAGAGATTTAGATAGATATTTGGAATTTTGACTTTCACCAAAAAGTTTGGGAGAGTTGGCAACCCTGGGGTCCACTTGTCTGTGTGGTAGTCATCTGCCGGAGCACTGTGGCCAGCCAGTTCTGGTGCGCAGCATTACCTGTCATTGTTCCCTGGGCCTGCTTCCTTCCTTTGTAGGACCTTCATGAAAGCACCTGAATTTGTAATTTCTGTTTCACAGATTTATTTCTGCCTCCAAGATTCTCTGCAGGGACTTATAGGACACGGGGACTGCAGATCTGTTTTGAGCAGCGAGTTCGTATTTCGTTAAGTCTGATCCCTTAAACTATATCACTATGTCAACAACAGGACTAAGAGATGGGACATGATTCCACTTTTCTGTCTTGCCCTTTGGCCTGACCGAGTGAAGACACATCTGTGTCCTTTCACTGCTGTCAGTCCTTCGGACAAAAATAATGCTTCGATTCATGTCAACGCCTAGAGTCTTCAGGCGTTGGTGTCCAGCTCCCCTTTCCTGCTTTAATAATCTAATTTTTCAAAACTGCAAATACCAGAGGTCTCTTTTTCTCACGGCCAACCAAGAGAGCTCAGGTCTGTCTCGTTCATGAGGACTGCCTAACGCATATAGTAGCCACTCAAGAAATACTTGCTGATGAATGCACCCTTAGGCCGTTCTCCCTAACTCTATCTCTGGCCTATGGCACACTTGCTGTTCGGAGACAGACAGAATGATTAAAGCCCTGGGTCGAGTGGTCCTCGTTCACGCACACACCTCAGCTTTCTTTTCAGGGTGGATGAAGCCTTTCTCTGTCAGGCATGTGAAGGCTGGAGGGTTCTGGAGACTTTCCATTTCTTCAGAGACCCAGCAGAAGGAGTAGGTGCTAGTGGTTGGGTTCAGGATTGTAAAAGTCCTGGTCAAGGGTGAAGAATTGAAAGCAGAGAGAGGGGGTTGAGGATTAAGTGAAACGTTCTTAGGATCTGCCCTAACACAGCCCCGCTATGTGGGAATCAGAACCGTTTCAGACACTCCGTTACTGTAGAAATGAAAACTACATCTCACTTGGGGGTGTAAAGTATGGCCGGAGTACTGGACTTTGGAATAACGATGATGTCAAGGGCCCTTCTGTCCTAGTGATCCTCTGTGGTCAAGGTGGTGGTCAGAGATTATATTTTTATGCCTTCCAAATTTCTCCTAGTGTCAAAACTAAGGAGACAGAATTCAGCTTCCTTACTGTGGGAGTTCTCTTAGGCCCCAGGATATCAAGCCTGCTTCTAGGAACCCACCTAGCTTGTTTCTCTGAATTCCCCCTCTGAGTTCTTTAGAAGGGCTGACTGATAGGAATTCAACTGATGCAAACTTAAGCAACTCACCGGAGATTCTTCCCTCCTATGCCCACACTGGTGAATTCAATCACCCGGGTGTTTGGATCCACAGCCCCACCGCTAGGCCCGCGGAGATCCGGGTTGCGCCGATGACCACTGATGTAGTCCGAGTCTTTCAGGTCAAAATGGCAAAAGGGCAAGCAGCTCCGCCCTTTTGCTGACAAGACCGGGCCTCGCTCTCCAGGCGGCAGGTTGGGAATCCTGAGAGGATAAGATTATTTTAATTTTTTAGTTTTAATCAATTATTGCTTTCTTAGTTGGTCAGAAATGAATATTACATCCTCCAGAATGTGAGCTCCATGAGAACAGAGGCTGAATCTGTCTTTGTCAATAACATAACCTCAGTGCCTTGAATAGTACATGATGCATAGTAGGTGATCATTAATAATTGTCGAGTGGATGGATGAATGTATGAACGGGCTGCGTCTGAGGAGCCTGGATTCTGGTTCCTTCTGTATACCTAAGTATGGCCTCAGGTTACTGCCTCCATCAGTGATCGGAAAATCTCCCTGCTGTAAGATGAGCACCGAGGCTTCGCCTGCGGGCCCTCTCATAGGCAGCCCGTGGATATAAAAAGTGATATAGAAATCCTAAAAATGTGTCCTGAGCTCCCAGGAGAAAGTGGACAGGATGTGAGCAGACTTCCAGCACCAGCTCTAAGCTTAGGTGGCCCAGGTGTGGGAGGGGTCCCTGCAGGGTAACTGTGGGGTTTCCAGGAGGCTCATCTGGCTCTTCCGCCCAGGCCGTGGGTAAGGCAGGCATTCTCCAAGGAGCTTTTCTGTGAGTGGGCACCGCGTCAGGGACTGTCACTGCCAGCGGTTATTGGATTAGCTTTTTTCTCACTGGGCCTGGGTCCCATCTATTCCTCACCTACTATGTACCACGTCTACCACCTAATGTTTGCTGTGCTTATTGTGTGCCAGGTTCTGTTCTAAGCTTCACTGAATTATCTTCAGTGACAACTCCAGAAGGTGGACATTGTTATTTGAATTTTAAAGTTAAGGAAGCCCAGTCTCAGTAAAGGTATAAGAAAGCTTTCCCAAGTTCTTGCTTGTCACAGGACTGGACTGGACCTGGCTGTCAAGCATTCTGTTCCCCCGTGGACTTTTGTATGTGACCAGGAAGGGAGAGGTGGGCTGGACGAAGAGTCTAGACAGGGTTGATGAGCAATACAAAGGACCGAATTCTCCTTGTTCTCTAAAGGCTGGCCCCTGTGACTCCTTCCGAAGGGAAATGTGTCCGTTTGGGCTGTGCAGGGGTCTAGGGCTGGACAGAATGGTGGTAGTGGTGGGATAGAAGAGGGACAGGAACTGCAGAGCTTTGTTCTGGGGAGCACATCTTACTGGCAGGAAAGATTGCTCTCGAAGTCTCCGACCTCCAATGGGGAGAATTTCACTTTGATCTTCTGAGTCTTCCCCATAGGCACGACGCCCGAGGTAGGCTCCACAGAGAAGGACTGTGAGAGAGCTTCGTTCCAGTGGTCCACAGCGCTCTCCAGAGTGCTGCCTGTGAGCAGTGTCCCCTGGCTCAGTTGCTCTTTTTGAGAGGAACCTGGGGGCAGACAGAGGGCCAGGGATACTCTGCACTTGCGCTGGGAGGACAAGGAGAAGGAGGTCCACTCATGGGCCCTTAGGGACCCTCCATGGGTTGTTTCTGTGGGCTCACCTCTTCTGGCAGATACTTAACTTTGGACAGTAGGAGTAAGAAATTGACTCATACCTCTCACAGGCAACTCATGAAAAATACTTCAATTAATTCCATCAAGTTTTCAAATCTGTTTCCTTTTGGCTCAAGGGAGTGGGTCAAACAGATGTCTTTTGCCTCAAAAACGATGGGCTGGGAACATCATTTTTGGAGGATCACTTTTTTAAAGTAGGAGTTCACAACCTGGGAGCCCATGGATAAGGCTCCATTTGGAAGGTGTGAGAATCTCCAAAAGTGAAGCAGTAGTAATGGATGTTTGCCTACCAAGTTATGGGCCCCTTTTGAGTGCTTCATGTATATAAACTGCAAATTGGGCATATTGTGTATTTTCCTGGGGAGCTAGTTCATAGTTTTCATCATTTCCTCCAAGAGTCTGTAATCACCTAGAAGGTTAAGATCCAAAAGAAAAGATTCTTAGAGATGTGAGAGGGGGTGTTGGCCTTGTGGCAGGCCAGGGTCTAGGCTACAGGAGGGCAGAGGTCAGCTCTTGAGTTTCTCAGGCTCTGCATATGTCAAGAGGCCTCTGCTCTGCTTCTCCTTAGCTACTTAGGAGGCCATGGGAGCAGTGCTCGCTTTTCCAGGAACGAAGCTCTTCTACTTATTGGGGACTAAGCTCGAACCCTGGTTTTTACCTGGCATCGTATTTACCTTGGTTATCCGGCATGACAAAGCTGACAGCCTTTGCCACCTCTTCTAGGTTCCAGCTGAATTCCAGCTGCACATTTCCTGAATTAATCAGTTCAAACCTACAAATAGATCAGGGAATGGATTGGAGAAATGTGTTGCGGATGATTTTTGTCCTGTCTGCACATCATCTATACTGTTATTTAACTTTTTAAAGTCACTTTGTTACTTAAATCTTTCTTCAAAAGGCAAGTTTTAAGCAATTTATTCTGAGATAATGCAATTGATGTGTCAATCATATTTCCTTCTAAGACCCATAAAATAGGTACATAGCTATTAACAGTAAAAATATCCAAATATTTAGCACTTAAAATCATCTTGTATATCACAGGGACCCTATACAATGAGCTCTCAGAATGCATCACGGTAATCTTGAAATTCCCATGAGAGAGGAAACAAAAATCTATTTCACGTGATGGTACTATCCTGGGGTGCAAATTCCATAGCCCTTCCCTTCCTGAATCACTTCCCATCAGAAACAATGTCCCTGTCATCAGAAATCATCTGACCCCTTCCTGAGATGCCTTTACTGGCTGAGACACAGACTCATCTCAAATTCTGCCTAAGTTTTCCTGCTCTAATACAAGAACTGGGAGATAGAAGCTTTTTCCGGAATCACTATGAAACTTGATCACAGACAGTGACAGCAGGAGCGTGAAGCCTCTCAATACAAGAAAATGATTGTGCAAGAGGAAAAAAACAGACATGCTCTTCCTTGTTTTAGGGGAGTAGTGAAAGTTGAGAGTTTGTGGGGGATAGGTAAGGGGTGGAGTTTGGGGATTAGAGCTCCATGATCCCATCCAGGTAGACCATGCATTGACCTCAGGGGCTTGTATTTATTGTGTGAATTTGTGAGTACTGGTCTTCATCCTAAAGAAAATTTTTATCAAGTAGAGAAATCTTAATGGCACAAGATAGTTTTCATAAAAAGAAATCTTGGTTTAGGTCAGGGGTTGGCAAACTTTTCTAAAGGGCTAGATCGTAAGATTTTTTGGCTTTTCATGCTGTAGGTCCCTGCAGCAACTACTCACTCTACTGCTGCAGGGTGGATGCAGCCACTGACAATACAGAAATGCCAACAAAACTATTTACAAATATAGGTAGCTAGCTGTAACGTAGGCAAGAGAACTAAAATATCAAATCAAGCTGCATTCGGAGATTGCAACCTGCTGATCAGCCCTGTAGCCAGGCCGGGAGGACCCCTGCAGAACAAAGGAAGATTTCTGTTAGGATTGCTAACAACCCATTTCCCACACCAGTGAAGGGGAAACAGGAACAACAGTCTTCAAGTGGCTACCCTACTCAAATAAAATCGTTCATTCCCTATGGCTAAAACCATAGGGAACCTAAGGATTAAAGGCTGGGAACCGCCAGCAGGCCTCTCATGCTATACTCTTCTCCTTCCTCACTGTATGCCCATATCACAGGAAAGGAGTAAACAAAGTCTTTAAACTGTAACTCACAGGAACTAAAGAATGATATATAAACTCCATCCCCCACACTCAGGGCTTTTTTTTCTTTGTCTTGGGTTTTTGACTTTGCTTTCTCTAGTCTTTGCTTTTCCCCTTCTTTAATAAACTTTCCTTTTGACCCTAACTTTGACGTGCATGTTGAATTCTTTCTACATTCTCCGCCAAAGAACCCTCTTCGCTCAGGACAGGGCTTGGTCTTCCCCATATCCTGCATCAGCTGGATTTGGTCCCGGGCCATAGTTTGCTGATCCCTGCTTTAGGTAAAATGGGCATCAGCAAAAGATCCCACTTCCTATCTTATGTCTTTGGTTCTATAATAATTTGAGAGGACACTTTCAGTGCAAATGAAAATGAGTTGAACAAATTAATAACGAATTTTTGAAAAGTAGAAATGTCAGTGGTTTACATTTTTTGTGTTTGTAATTCTCAAAGATTAGTCACAGGCCCTCTCTCTTTGTCTCTGTATATGTTGCTTTCTCTGCCTAAAAGGTCTTTTTTTTTCCTACTTCTTTACCTGGATACCTTCTATTTGTTCTCCAAAATTAAGCTGGGGCACCACTTTGTCTGGGAAGCCTTCCCTGACACTCTTCCATATCTTGGTCTGCTTTAGGGCCTTGGCCTTCATACAGAGGACACCATGCTGCAGCCATCAGTTCACCTGTTTTCACCCATTCCCCCACCCCTAACTCTAGACCATGAGCTCTGAGGGTAGGACCTCTGGCATCTTTGTATCCCTGCATCTGAGCATGGGTGAAGGATTAACATAACTCTTTCTCCTTGTAAAGACAATGTGGATTTGAACTAACTTTCTAGCATTGTTTCCCTGGAAAATAAAGAAGAAATGTCAGCTATGTAATTAGGCACCATTGTTTCTAGTAAAAATGACCCCTGCTTGGTAAATAGTATTTGGTCTGGGAGGAATGATGGTTATCTGGAGGAAAGCCATAGTTTTGAGTTCTCTTGAGCATAGAGGCTCTTGTAACTGGGCATTTTCCCTGCAGGCATCCTGGAAGCTATACTTTTGGGGTGGTTATGAGAAATGTTAGCTTCTGTTGGTCATGGGGCTTCTAATCTAATGGACCCCATCCCCACTAGTGTAGATATTGTCTGAGCTGTCCTCGCCCGGGGGACCGACAAGAAGTTCCTGAGTGGCAGTGGACTGCTGCAAAGATTACTCCCACTGAAGCTAACTGCCTGATGCCACCTTCCTGGTTGACTGTGTTTCCCAGCCTATAATTTGATTTCAAGTGTGAACTTCAATTGCTTTGTGGGTCTGAATGTTTTATTGAACCCTTGAAGACACTTTGGTGCATGTTACTTAGACGATGCATGGTATATACTGTTAAAGACACTAAATAAATGTTTGGTGAATGATGAAATGAAAGAGCTTCTCTGGTGAATGCCAGAGGCTTTTGAGGACTCACTCAAACACTCGGGTTTGGTAAACTAGCGTTTCCTTAAAGCGCACATCACTTGTTTGGCACTTGTATGAGGCGAAATCCACGTTTGCACTGATCTGAAGCTGCAGTTCTCGATAGTTTTCTTCCAGTATTGAGTGAGCAGGCTCAGGATCCATCTCTACCACCTGTAACAAAGGCAGCTGTGTCCTCAGAGATGCAGAGCCAGCTATCCCACAGGGATAATGGGAGGGATAACACAGTATTTTATTCTACTTATGCAAATTAATACCAACTCACAAACTCAAGTTCCAGAATAGATGATTAAGGCAAATCAAAAATGACTCACAAATAGGAAAGGAAATAAGACATTACTGAGCACAGACTGCATAGACATGAGTGTTGGGTTCAGATGGACTCCAATGAAGGTAGGAGAAAGAAAATCATACAGATAGAGACAGATATTAATAAAATAGAAAATAAATCTAGAACAGAAAGGACTAAGAAAGCCAAAAGTTGTTTATTTGAAACAATTTAAAAAACCTTTGGTGAGACTAATCAAGAAAAAAAGGAAAAAATACAAATAATCATTATCAGAAACAAAAAGGGATCTACAGCCATGCTACCCTGAACAAGCCCGATCCTGTCTGATTTCGGAAGCTAAGCAGGGTCGGGCCTGGTTAGTACTTGGATGGGAGACCACCTAGGAAGACCAGGTGCTGTAGGTGTAGGCGTTAAAAAAAAAAAAGGGGATTGTAAGCTGACAAGTTCCTTGCAATCTGTGAGGTCAACCAAGGGTTGCCTTGCCTAAAAAAAAAAAGAAAGAAAAAAGAAACGAAAAGGGGACATTACTATAGATCTTATAGATTTAAACATATGATAAGAAAATATTATGAATAATTTTATGAAAATACATGACAACTTAGTTGAAGGGCAAATTCCTAGAAAAATTATTTAATAAAATTGACTCAAGAACCAATAAAAAAACCTGAAGAATCCTAATACTGTTAAAGAAACCAAATGATAGTAAAAAAAATCTTAAAGACCAAAATAAATAGAATGATATACCTTTTTAATGAAAAGGATGAATTGATATAAAATTGTCAGTTCTTCCTGAACTGATTTATAGATGTAATCTAATTCCAATCAAGTTTCCATCAGGGTTTTCATAGTACAGTTGACTCTTAAACAATGCAGGGGTTAGGGACATAGAATCCCCATGCAGTCAAAAATCTGTGTGTAACTTTTGACTCTCCCCAAATTTAATTACTAATAGCCTATTGTTGACCAGAAGCCTTAGTGATAACATTAACAGTCGATTAACACATATTTTGTATTCTATAGGTATTATATACTGTATTCTTATAATAAAGTAAGCTGAAGAAAAGAATGTTATTAAGAAAATCATAAAGAAGAGAAATACATTTACAGTATTTATTTGAAAAAATCCACATCTATGTGGACCCACACAGTTCAAACCCACATTATTCAAGGGTCAGCTGTACTTGCTAAATGAATTCCAAAATCATGTAGAAAAATAAAGGGCCAAGAATAACAAAAACACTTCAGAACAAAACAGTGTGGAGGAGGGACTTCCTCTCTAGGTATCAAGGCTGACTATGAAGCTATAGAAATTAAAGCAGTGTAAAACTGGCACGGGGATAGAAAAATCAGCAATAAAGTAGAATATAGAGACAGGAGACATTCTAGGCACATATAAAATTAAGATGACAAGGGAGGCATGGCAGATCAGTAGGGAACAGAAGGATTAAACAAAAAAGAGATTTGGCAAGATTAGTTATCTAGATGGAAAAATATGAAATTGGATCTTTGCCTCATACTATGCATAAAAGCCAGGCGGGCCAAGGGCTTAAATATCAAAAGCAAACCTATTTAACATAAAGAAAAGAAAAAGTGAATATTTTTCTTCTCTGTTAGGGAAGAGTTTTAAACATAAGACACAAGGAGAAATAATTATGAGGAGAGATGAACAATTTTGTTCATCAAAAGAGACATTAAAGAAAATGAAAAGATGAGTTATAAATTTGGTGAAGACATTTTCAGAAAAATAAGAACAGTAGAGTTTATAAAAAATAAAATAACTCATACAAAGACAAGCAGCATAATTAAAAATGGGCAAAAGGCATTTATATAAGAGAGAACTTGCATGGCCAATGACCATATGAAGAAATATTCAACTTTATTAGTGATGAAGAAATGCAAAATACGCCCCAAAAGAAACCATTTCCTATACATTTAAATGATAAAAATAAAAAAGGCTGACAATGCCACATATTGGAGAAAATGTGGATCAGTAAGATCTCTGCTAGCTGAAGTATAAATTGGTACTGCAGTTTGGAAATGCTTAGGTGTTATCCTGGAAAGTTGAACATTTACATACCTATGATTCAGCAATTCCACTTCTAGGAATATAAATTCTTGCAAATGAATCTGATGTGACATGAACAGTAATGCTCACAGAAACACTGTCCATGATAGCAAAACCATAAATAACTTTCAAAAGAAAAATGGATGGTAAATAATAATGGAATTTTATATAGCAGTAAAATAGGTGTACTCTAACCACATGCAATAATGTGCACGAGCACAAGCAATAACCTTTTAAAAAATAAAGTTAAAAACTACATCTAAACGGTATGCCTTTTAGAATGCACAGGTTAAAAAAAGAAGTAAAAGATAACATTCAAGGAAATGAGCAAATAAGATTCAGGATAGCAGTGATTACCTTTAGGAGGGAGGCAGGGGGATGGAATGGCTGAAAACCATACAGGTTATCCATGTTCTACTTCCTGTGTTGTGTGTGGGTTCATCTTTGTCTATGATATTATTAAAAAGAAATCAACCAGGAATAATTAAAAGAGGGCTATGCATGGACCAAAGATGAGATTCTGTCATTAACCAAAGATTAGAACTAATCTAATTCTGGACACACAGGGTAAAATGGAAAGAACTAAAAGATTAGTCATGACATTTTTAAAAAAGAAAAATGTGGGAGGACATGTTCAACTAGGTATCGAGACTTAATCTAAAGCTCTACCAATTAAAATGTGTGGTTCGTGTGGCACATGTAGTGTGGATGGAGTGCTTGGAAGTCCGGTTTGCATTTCTGACATCAAGATTGAGTGAAATGGCAACTCTTCCTTTTTCTATGAAAGAAGGAAATGATGACACACTGAACTCGAGAGCAGTAGGCACCCAGGAAGGGCAGACCTGATCCAATCTGTGCTTGAAGTCCCTACTCACTTTTCGTTTTGTAGTTAAAGTCCCAGGCATGTTTCTGTGTGCGTCCACCCACTTGACTGTGCGCATGCGGTCATCCCAGTCATGAACCTGGTCTGCAGGGAGCTGAAACACGATCTTGGAGAGCTTACACTTGACCCCCATCTTCTTCAGGTTGATGGGCATGTCTGACTTCATTGTCACCACTATGTCCTTGGAGCACCCAGGGTGGAGGTGGCCAATCTGGGGAAGAACATGGTATTAGTATTTTTGTGAATTCACTATTGAGGGCTCTTGCTCCCTGATGGTGACATTCTAGAGGAGGGGTAGAGCGATAAGTCTTGCTAAAAAGTGCATCGTTCAAGCCCATATATGTAGATTGTCTTAAAAGTGTACAAAAGTGTCTTATGCAGAAAACCCCACATATGTACCATGTGTGTATATCTATACACTCCGTACATATCATATCATACATAAATACATATACGTATATGATATATATGATAGTCCTTTCATGTTTCTGATAAAAATGCTTTCTTCTGTAAAGTGAAGGGAGAAGATAGCTTAGTAATCCTACCGGCCACAAATGTGTGTGTGTGTGTGTGTGTGTGTATGTGTGTGTGTGTGTGGATATGTATGCATGAGTGTGTGTGTACGTGGGTATAAATGGACTATAAGAAGCTATCTCTGCCTACTTTTACTAATGCTTTACATCCTCCCAGAAAGCAAAACTTCCTCTTGATAGCACTCGAAGACTTAAAGATAGGGTCCCCAACCCTCCTTTCTCTATTCCCCTAGAGTTCTGTGTTTGAATAGACTTGGTGGCTGAAACAGAGCAGGAGGCAGTGGATATATATATGAGTATATCCAGTGTCCTGGGAACTCAGAAATGAACTGTCTATAAAGAGCGACTACTGGCTGGAGGCTAGGATGGGCTATCATGTTGACCTAGGCCTTGGTCAATGTCCAGCTTTGGTCAGCAATTCACAAAATGTGTGCCATGAGATGCTAAAAGGGTTATAACATTCCCAGTAAAACACGGTTAACTAGAATCTTTAAGAGAAAGACATAACTTGCAACATTTTCTAAATCTCAGTTGTCCACAGAACCCGCCACCCGCATTTTAGCTTTTAATGAACCACTTTTGTAGGAATAACATTTGAAGAACACACACCCAGGGGGCGACAGGTCTACACTCTGGGATGGGAAGACTGAGACCTGTTTTCATCCATAGGCTTCCATAGGATTCCTCAACATCAGCCTAGCAACAGTCTTGGCAGACCTCGTTCTCTGCTCTCAGGCCAGAGGGGACCTGAACAGTGTTTCCTGCTACCAGGTCTGAGTGAGGGATGGTTCCAGCTTTAGATTCATGCATCCTGTCCCTTGTAGCCATGGGAATGGACTGACAAAAAAACTGGGGTTGGCGGAGGCCTAAGGGAGTCCAGAAAACAGTGAATGCCTTTCACTTACCTGTGGTGAAAAGGAAATTGTAGCTAAAAGGGGCCATTCAAACCGTATCACATTCACTTGGCTGTGGTTAGTGACTGTGAAGCTCACATTATAGCTGTTTCCAATGTGGCAGTCCCCGAACTGGATGTGGTCCACCAGAGCAGCTAGGGGACAGAAGCAGAAGGCCGGTGAGCCCTCCCTGGCCACCTCCTAGTGCTCACTTCCCCACAGAGGCAGCATCTGAGGGACACTGTGCCTCACCCTCATGCAACCCCAACCTCCTTGGACGGTTGTGCTGGAAAAACCTGGAGTCCTGAGCAGTTAGCTTTGCTTCGTTGGTGAGTCAGTCTACTTATCCAACCAACCATCCATCCATCCATCCATCCATCCATCCATCCATCCATCCAAAGTCTGTCTATCCATCCACCTTGGCCCTCACTTCCAAGAGAAAACATAGGCCCCCAACTCCATTTGTTTGTTGAAACAATACTACTGACAAAATACAGGAGTGCCCATTAAATTTGAATTACAGATAAATGATGAGTAATCTTTAGCGTAAGTATGTCCCATGCAATATTTTGGGATGTACTTAAACTAAAAAATAACTCATCATTTATCTGAAATTCAGATTTAAGGGGGAATTCCTGTATTCTGACTTCATAAATCTGGCAACCCTATTATAAGTATGAACTTTGACTTCTGAACTAGGGTTCACTGCTGGCTCCTGCTTGACCTCTGGCGAGAGATGTCACCCCGTAGCCACAAACAGGGGTGAGACACCAGATACGTGAGGAGCACCGATTTTAACCCATGTTGCCCAATGCTACTGCCCAATGCTACATTCCAAGACTATAGTTAAACTCCTAGAAAAACTGTGAGACTGTGTTTATAGTTTACTTCAGAGCAATTAGCCATACAATTAGGGTGCTTAGCAAATGCTTTTTGATAATAACGATGAAGTAAATTTTCTCATACCCCAAAGAGTATAGGTAACCAAATGAAGCTGCAACACTTGATATACGGTGGAACAGTGTGTCAAATTGGAATTTGAGTTCAAACCTTAAGCTCCCTAAGGGCAGAGACTCCTATTACTTTTTGGAACTCCAGGGCTCAGCGTAGTACCTGACACATGCATACTGATGTGCCATAAATATTCCTTGAGAGGACACATGAATGAATGCAGTGACGGAGCCAGGCATGACAGAGCATACAGTGATGAAGAGGAGATTCTGTCCTAAATCCCCAAGAAGCTAGCTGACTTGTTATTTAAGTTTCACTCTCATTTAAAATGAGACACCAGTCGTCAACACCTCACTGCTGCTCCTCCCACCTGCCACCAAGTCTTCCACAGGGTTTTCTTCGATCATCTCAGAGGTGTCTGAGGTCTTCTGGCTGGTGGCGGAAGCCGCCAGCCTGTGGATGTTGTCTAATGTGATGTCGTCCTCATAGCCCTCTCCCACCATGTGGATGACTGTGTCTTCATACTGGTTGTTGATCACTGACAAGTGGATGATGCCTGTTATCCTCCCAACCTTTTGGGAGTGGAAAATAACATCAAATTCAGCTGTGTTTCCAGGAGGAACAACCAGGGAGGCCGTGTGAGCTTTCTTTGCTGCAAAGAAAAGAGAGAAGAATCATTTAGAACCAGTTTAAAGGAAGATGCATCCGTAAAGACCCTGACTGAAGGGAAAGCGGACCTAGTGTGGGAATGAGCATTGCGTAGAGTAGCCATTGGTAACAAGACTGGGCCTTCTTTTCTGGCTGGGTCCTGAGTCCTCTAATAAAACAGCACTGGGACCCACTGTCCTCTAGAAGCCACTCTCTCCCAACTTACCTTTGGCATGGGGTTTGTTTTCTTCTGTAATGTAGATGTAGGAGGTAGTGGGCCTCCCTTTCAGGGAGAAGACGCCTAGCTGGTCCTGCAGGTCAACATGCAGCTGGCAGAAGGAAAGCGGGACTGAGTGTTACACTTACAGGCCACTCATGAGTTTTGAGTTTGGAGTGAGATACTGCGCTGTTTGGGAACTGCCCACCCCCGCCAAAGCCACTGTGCACAGTGCCCAACTTTCTGTTTCTTATTACAAGGGAGATATAATCAATATTAGACCTAGAGAGGAAAAAAAAAATTGGAACTGGAGGCCCAGAAAGTACAGGTGACTTTACAGATCACCCAGGTAAGTACTGTTAAAATGGGGTTGCCAAGGCCTCTGATTGACAAGGGCAGTTGTAAAATACACTCTAGACTAATAAAATGGAAATGAATATTCATCATTCTATGGGGATTTGCATGAATGTGAGTTCTTAAAAACGAGTATTGCCTAGATTCTGGTGCCTTAGTGTCATGTTGAGCACCCTACCAAGATAAGAGGAAAAACAAGGTGGGCATTTGACCCACTTGGAGAAAAGGGATGTTTTCCAGACCACCAGAAGCCATATATCTGATTAAAAAAGAACTAAAGCCATATATCTAATTTGAGGTGTGAGATACCAGCAATCATTTTTAGAAGATAGTAATGCTGGCACCATCACGAACAAAATAATGTAAAAAATTAGGCACGAAGAAGGAAGAACTAGTGATATCATATAAGAAGCTACTGATATTAAAAAACATTACGTATTTAGAAATAACTTTAATAAATTGTATGGAGGAATTATATGAAAAAAATATTTACATAAAAGATCTAAATTAATGGATGGTAGAGAGCCCAAATACTCAAAAAGTAGAAATTCATCCCAAATAATTCATAGGATTCTTAATGAAATTTTTTGAGGAACATCATAAAATGATGTCTAAAGTTAAATCTGAGAGACTATAAATGCAAAAATTTTTAAGAAAAATTAGAAAAATGAGGAGCGGGTGGGCAGGAATTCACTGAACTAGATGCTAAAACGTTTATAATGCCACAGTTCTTTGCATAACCCTTACATAATTTAGCACTTTTTTTTGTAAAATAAAAACATAAAAATTCAATGTTCATTACAGAAAAAAAAGAAGACACTAAGAATACCCATAATCCTATCCACTAAGCTTAGTGCATGCAGTGTGCGCTGCCTTGCACAGTAATTGTTAGTGTATCCTGTGATCTGCTTTTAACACTCGAGGGCAGAGACCATGCCTGATTTCTCTCTGTACATCTCATGTCTCACACAGGTTAATGAATGAGGAACATCAAAGAAGAAGTCATAAATTAGGGATGGCAAGAGAGCTCATGTCTCACACAGGTTAATGAATGAGGAACATCGAAGAAGTCATAAATTAGGGATGGCAAGAGACCCCAATATCAGAAGTCTTACTTCTGAATGAATGATTTTTCTCCCTTTCCACCTCACACTTTACCCTCCCCCTCCCCCTCCACCGCAGTACCTGGGCGGGGATGGTGCCATTGTTCTTCAGGATGAGAGGTAGTTTCTCTGAATGACCAAGAAGCAGCCTCTTAAAGAGGAGCAAGGGGTTCCCAGTTTGGTTATAGAGAACTGGCCGCACGACAGTCACTCGAGGGAGGTTGCCCTCTCCCACAATATCAAACACAAGGCTTCGGTTCTTGGTCAGGTTGCTGCAGGGAACAGACAGATTGAGGTCTGTCAGCCTGGCATGGCAGAGGTGACATTCCATAGAGTGTGGCCTGCAGCCCTGTTGCAGGCCAGGTTGCTGGGGAGTTGGTACCTGGGCAAGCCATCCAAAGTAGCCTCGAAGATACACTGGTAGGTTTGCATGGCCTGTGGGGTGAAGGACACTGTGGCAAAGCCATGTGAGCGACTGGCAATGCACATCTTGTTGGGTTCCACTTCGAAGATGTCGATGATGCGAGCAACCATCTGCGGAGGGAGGGCAGGGACAGGCGTGTGCGTTAGCTACTTTGCATTTACCCAGGGCTTGCTGCTTATCTCTATCACCCTTGCGCTCTCTCCCTCCTTTACGCTCCGCAGTGGACATGTTCCATTGCCTGCACAGTCATGTCCCTGGAAGGAACAGCCTAGATACTCTGGGATCCACCTCTCAGTAGTAACTGGCTGGATTTGGCTAGACCTGTGATCTTTGACTCAAACAGATGAACTAATGCAGATCTTAGATACACAGGTATCAATCTGTCTCCTTGTCTCTCTGAACTAAATTAAGATGCCTGGAGATCATTGGTGGTTGCTCATATGGAACTGAACTAGAAGCCATGGAACTACAGAGACAGCATGAGTAAAAGACCCGTGATCCTTGAAGGATGGACAGAGCCTTTACTGGTCTTCTGAAAGCTGGATTTCAGGTGACAGTGCCAGTCCCACAGTGTTCTGGCTGCACAGTGTGTCCTGACCTCGTCTGAGATCTCTGATTCATCGGAGCAAACCTTGCTTAGTTTGGGCTATCCCAAGTGGGTTTCCGCTTCTTGAAACTCCAATGGCTTTAGTTAGGACAACCTCCCATCGCACTTATCTCTTCCCATCTGTGGCAGCGTTTTGGGAAGACTGTAGGGACCCCTGGCATGGCCTCAAAAGGACTATTCATTCTTATGGGAGGCAGATGGGATTCAAGACTATTTCTTTTTGTTCTTAATGTTCTTTCCAATGGATAGTCTGAAAATTAAGGAGGAGGAGAACATACCATGTCTGCAAACCCCCTGTTAAAATCCTTTGTTTAAAAATCAGGCTTGCTCACTTTTTAATGTTTTTAGTACAAATAGAAAGAAAGCTGCCCCTTTGTGTCTCAGATAAAGTCAGAGAGTAATGACTGGATGTCACCAGGGCCTGAGGGAAGTCATAAAATTATTAGTCTCTCAAACTCTGCCTCTTTGCAGTGGGTGACAATCCCTTGGGAATGTAGACTCTACTCTTGACTCTAGGCTAGGCCGACCCTCTTGGTGGCCTTCCCCCCACCATTGGCCATGTGAACAATGTCAGTTCTGGGGCACAAGGACCACCTGGGCCAAGATTCCATTTTTGGGCAGAGAATTAAGCAGCGGAGATGACACCAGGCAGTATTTGCAGCACATCTGACTGGAATATAAGGGCGAGTGAAACCCGTTGACTAAATCTCTGTCAGCATCCTGAACTTCCTCTTCTACTGTGAGGAAAAAAATCTCAGTATGGCCTGATTTAGAGGGGAAGGCAGCTTCTAGTCCTGTGGATCCCGAGATGAGAACTTATTATTTGCCTTGTATGTGAATGAAGCTTGGCTTTAAACCTAGCCCTATATCCCTAGGCTCCGGGACCTAGGAAAAGAATTTAGTTTTCTCGAGCCTCAATTTCCTTGACTTGAAATGGGGATAATAATACAAACTTGTTGTGAGGATGAAATGAGGCAATCCATACGAATCCTCTGGCACAGTGCCTAGCATACAGTGGGGACTCAATAAATGCTCATCATTTCACAGCCTTATAATCTAATACTCCCCAAATCTCCTGTACCAGACAAATGTATGATTTGAGGCAGCCTGCCTGAGCTGTCACTCATCTTGGCTCTCCCCATAAGGCTGCATCTATTGTAGGCACACAGTGTTTGATGGAGGAGTGAGTTGCTCATTCCTGTGTATCAGTTTATCACAGAGATACCCAGAGGAGACACCTTTTGGGACAAATGTGTGCCTATGGGAAACTGCCCAGTTTCCTCCCATAACTTCTGTCAGGGCCAGAGTGCCAGATAATCCCAACTTGTGTATAGAGGCTCCAGAGCAGGGGATTCTATGAGCTCTTTCCTGGCTTTCTGCCAACCACGGTGGGCCAGGGCAGGCCGAGGGGGCTGCTGACCTTGTTGGAGACAGGCTTAACCACAATGTTCACATCACAGGCGATCTTCCCCATGTTGCTGATCTTGAACCGAGCCTTGGCCTGATGGCCCACGAGAACATTGCTGAAGATGAACTTGTTCTCGTCCTCCACAAACAGGCCGACACTATCTATGGTCTGCAAGATGTTGTACATGTTGGTGCTGCTACAGATCTGGTGCTCCTCAAATATCAAGGCGTTATTGTCAGTCACGAAGGCTGGGGAGTGGAGGGAAGGCTGTGAGACGAGGCCTGAGGGCCCAAGTCTTGCTTCCTGTGATTTCTCCTTTGGAGGTTTGGATTCCAACAAAGGACAATCACAGAGGATGTGAGCGATGGGACAAATTCTATCTTCTTTTGTACTGCTCTTGCTGACTGCCAGACCCCAACCGTCATTTCCTCCCAATGGTAAGGAGGGGTAAGATATGGGATCTAGGGTAAGCCTAAGAAAGAAGGAGGCGTTTGGCTCACTCTGGTCCGAGGTTGCACAGCACCTATAGCTAAAGAAAAGTTCCTCAGTGCTTCACCTGAGATCTTACTGCATTAAAGGTATAGCGTGCTCTGTCACTGACCACTGTTCTCTGTGTATATGCTGCCCACAGGGAGTGACCTGGCCAAGAGCAGGATTCAGTGTTTCTGGGTCTGGTGCCATATCTCATTGATTCCCTATTCATTTGAGAACCCTGGACCAAACTCAGGAAGATGAGTTTAAAGCTGCACAGCCTCTTCTAGGTGTGCATGCTTCGTAAGTCTTTAAGGAAAAATATGGCCGAAGACGCCAGAGTAAGTTCTAAGGTCCCAAAGATAGCAGCCCAGCTATGTTCGCTAGACATTTACATGGTGGTGGGTTTTTTACAGATGAAGGTCTTTTAAGGGGCGCTGTCCAGTCTCAGTGCTCCGTACCTGGCAGACAGGCTTCAGCCAACAGGCTGTAAGGAATGCCAGCGGGGTGGTGTCTTGGGTCTCGGTCAGAGATATCGATGGCTATCAGCTCCTCACACTTTCCCACGGGGTCGGCCACGCAGTCCACGGTGATGGTCTGCACCCCTCCGGGAGGAACGGAGCCAAACCCAGGGTACACGGTGAACATGCCGTGGGTGAAGCGAGCCTGCAGGACACGGTGGAGGGGGAAGGGGTGGAGGCAGAGTGGGTGACAGCCCGAGCCCTCCCACCACTCATGAGATGGCGTCGAGAGGGACTGGCGGGGCCATCCTCCAGAGGCTCTCTCTGGGCCCCCGCTCCCCTCCCGGAGGAAGGGAGGGCCTGGGGGGCTTCAGGCATGGGCTCGCTGTGCTCCTTTCTGTGTCCCTTCCTTCTGACCAGTCGTGACTGAGTGGGGGTTTAGGGGAACAGACACGTTCTACGTTGTACAACATTTACCCAAATGGACATCTCCTCTCCATTGTCATTGAACCCTTTCATTAAATTTTAAATTTTGTTTATTTACTTTTTTCAATTCCAAAATTTCCATTTGGTTCTTCTTCGTATCTTCTCTTTCTTTGCCAAGACGCACCATGTTTTCATTTGTTCCGAGCATATTCGTAGCTGCTCTCTGAAGTGTTTTCATGTTGGCAGCGTTAGCATCGTTGTCAGATGACCCTAACATCTGTCATCTCAGTGTTGGCATCGAGCTTGTCTATTTTAATTCAGTTTGAGATCTTCCTGGTTCTTGGTAAGACAAGTGATGTTCAGTTGAAAGCTGGACATTTGGGTTATTATATTATGAGACTGGATCTTATTTAAAAATTCTCTTTGGCCTGGCTTTGTCTGACAGCACTCTGGCAGGGGAAGGGGGTGGGGGGGCACTGACTCATTATTTCCAAGGGGCGGGGGTGGCAGTTCGGATTCCCCACTTGGACTTCTCATTACTGCCAGACAAGGGGTGGGAGTTCTGGCTCCGTACTAGTCCTCAACTGATATCTCCCTGGCGAGGAGGGGGAGGGGTGCTTTGTTGCTGTTCTGCTGATGCCACGGGGTAGGGGAGACCCACTGGGGTGGAGGGAGCAGTATATCTCATTACCACCGGGCTGGGGTGAAACTCCCCATGTGGTATCTCCGCGAACAATGGTAGAGGTGACAATGGTGACAAAAGTCCTGGCTACCCACTAGGCATTCTTGAGACGCTACTCTGGCAGGGGGCTGGGGTATCTCATTATAGCTTGGATAGGGTGAAAGTCTCCCCACTGGCCTTTGCTAGCAGGGGTAGGTTAGCACCACAGAATTTTCTGTCATGTTTGACTGTAATAGAACACTTCCTGTCTGAAATTTTCTGTCTTGATAGGCTGCTCTTTTCCTGGTCCTCTGGCTAGTGGGAGTAGGCTTTTTTGGGGGCCTTTTTTTGGTCTGTGCCTGCTGATGTTGCTAGGTTGCTGGCTCCTTCAGCACCCAGACGGGATATATGAAACAAAAAGGAAGCTCAGGGAACTCACCACTGTGATGTTCATTAGATCCCAAGGACCCTAGCTGGTCTGATTTTTCTTTCCACCTTTCAATTTTCTGTGTTTGTTTTATACCAAATGTCCAGGGATTTTAGTTGTACTTAGTTGGGAAGAAGAGGGGAAATTATATCTATTCCATCTTACAGAAGCGGAAGTCTTCAAATCTCCTTTTATTTAAGCCAGGCTAAATGGGCTTTTGTTTCTTATAACCAAAAGATTATTAATTAAAATATATTTGGAGTTGAAACTTAATTTTAAGGCAGTGAGGAGCCAATGAAGGTTTTAAAGCAAAGAGCATATCTAAATTAAAAGTCATAACACCTTGTCTTAAAATAAAAGTGATATTTTAGTGTAACTATGTAATATTCCCACCACAGTAGATTCAAACCCTGCTATCCTAGGGAGGTATTTGTTGTAGGAACTAGTTGGAAGGTGGCCTTACAGGGCTTCAAGGAACGAGGAAAAAGGCACTCACCTGGTTAGGAATGTTTACTTCTTTCTGAATAGACTCGGAGAACTTGCTTGCCTTGGAAAAGCCACTCTTGTAGAAGCTCTCGCTTTCTCGGGATCTTGCACGCCGAATATGACTGACTCTGATTAAAGAAGCAAGAGAATGCCCTTAGATTGGGGTGGTGACATTAAATGCCACCTGTCTGTCTGCTTGCAAGGTCTCTTCTCCTAGGAATGGGGAAAGGGGCCCTTCTTTGCCCAAGAGGGCACTGGAGAAGCATAGGCAGCATTCATCATTAGCCAAACTCATTGAACAATTGTGAGAAAACCAGGTAGTAATTGTACTTATTAAATATGGTTCAGAAGGATGTTAAAAATTACTGCAAGAAAATAACAATTGTTATATGTTTACTTGAGATTGTTGGAAAGCACTGTGTGAAAATTATTTGTAGACATCAAATCTTTTACCTGATCTTACTTGAAAAAAAAATGAAATGCCAAGTCGATTAAATTCTATCCCTTTTCTTCACATTTATAGTCATGGTGTTTTAAAGACTTAGTTTAAGCAATAGCACAAACACAGGTTTTGGTAACTGTTCACTTCACTTGAAACGAGTTTACCCAATAATTAGTTTGCCTAGAGGCTAGTTCCCCCCAAATATTCAAATGTATTTGAGGTACAACCTTAACCTTTTCGGAGTTTTATATATTTGAGTATTCGCTTGCTTCATGACCAGAACAATTGAACTTCTACCCCCTCTCTTGAGTATTTTGAATGAATTTGTACATGCTAAAATAAAAAATAAATTAAAAATGTTTTAATGCAAAATACAATTATAATATCTATAAATAAACGTTATTAAATTATTATAAAATAAATAATAAAAATTAGGTTGAAATTAAATTTGGAAGAAAGAGACTTTAGACAGTTTAATCAAAAATTTCTTTTGCCAAGAACTGTGCCAAAACAGAAGAGGATATCCACAAAAATGTAAAACAATTACAAACCATGTGAAGCTGTATATACGATTCAAAACAACTAATTGGAAAGTACATTTTAAATTAATTAATAATTAATTAGTCAGAAAGTAAATTAATTAGAAAGACAAGACAAAATGCTTTGGGAATTGGTAAAACCATCCCAAAAGTGCCAAAAAAGAATATGACAATCAAATAAAGGCAAAAAAGCACTAAGAAAGGTAAATTGTTTTGGTGAATTGATTGAGAGCCACCTTTTGAAGAATACATGTTTTACTGTTGGAATAACGACTAAGTTAGCTGTTGGGATAAAATATCTTCATGGGGAAAAGGTAAAAACAGTGCCAGCAGACTGCGGCATCACCGTGCTTTCTCTAGTCCATGTTCCGGGGTACCCTTTGCCGTTCCCCATCATGAAGCACAGCTATGTTTTCTCTTGATTTAGCTTGCTGTTACAGCAGTCCCTTGACAGCCCACAGAACAACGGATAGGACAATGACTTACTACTTAGTCTTGCAGCATGGTAGAAGCACCAGGACAATGGACACAATCTCAAACAGAAGACTTTACATTTGTTCAATTAAAATTTATCACATTCGACAGCAGTTAGAAAGTATGTGGAATTGGGAGTCAGAGATGTCAGTTCAGAACTGGGATCTACTGGTGAGTTCTTGCATAATCTTGGATGAGCCTTTCTTAACATTACCGACCTCACTCATGAAAGGGAATCAGGTGAATTTAGATAAAATAAACGAAAACTCTTCGTAAAATGTAAAGCACTAATGGACCAGGGAATGGCATGAGTTAAGTAAATACTTGTCTTACACTTTCTTTTGATGAATGGGGCTCTCCCCCGTCAGCCTATAAAGGACATATCTGAAGTCAGTAACACCTTGATTTTCTATGATGAAGCTGGAGCTTTTACGGGCGCCATAAATCAAAGCCCCAAAGTTGATGATGGAGGAAGGGCTGATGTTGTATTTGGAGAACACTGCATTCACAGAAAACTTAATTGGAATGCTGGCAATGATTTCACCTCCTTCCGCGATATTGGGTTCAATGATCTAGAAAAAGAAGAAGGATTGGGAAGATGTCAGCTACCGGCATAGCTCCAGAATTCTCATGACTGTCGACTTCATTCCCTATTTTCATCATTGACATGAAGCCAAGTTCTTTAGTTCATTTCTTTATATTACTGCATCGACAATATCAGCAAATACGAACATCCAGCTTACTAGCCATGGATCGACAAAGGCCGATTTTGCCTCCTGTTTCACTTTCTGACTCTTCTTTTGCACTTGATGACTCAACTCAGCTTCCTTGCCTCAGGTGCTCCTCAAAGACCAGGGTCCACATTTCCTCTCTGGCACTCTCAATTTCTGATGACTTGCATACCTCCCACATGATCTACCTGTGCCTGCTAGTTGGAGACCAAACGCTGGTGCATCCTTTCTGGTTGCCACCCAGGCCAGCCCACACTCGTTGTCCTTGAGGTGTGGCTTAGACCATGTACTCTTCTTTTTGACATGAGTCCTACAGTGCTGCCACTGAAGGAGTCTTCTCTTTGAGCTCTCTTACCTGACAGCGCAGGATTGGCTGGTGCTCTATCTTCACTTCCTTTCTTGCACGGAATAACACCTGGACATTTGTGGGCTTTTCCGTTGTGGTCAGTGAGCCCTTCCTGGGTTGGACTGAGATCATAGAATTTACATTGGTCACTGAAATCCCTACGGGGTCCACAGAAAAGCTGAAAGACAAGAATAAAAGTCACTGTAAGTCGTTATTTAGGGAAGCCGAGACACTGGAGAGGAGACTCCAGACTGTTAAGAGACTGCAGTGTCTTTTGCCTGCTTAAATACGATGCCTAGCAGTGTCCTCTGTGCCTTGGACTCTGTGACCACTCCTCTTTAGCCAGGGTTGACAGGGCCAGGGATTAATGCTGAGGCAAAGATAGCCATCTCTATCCTGTGATCAAGAAGTGACCTTGCAGGAGATCTCCGTCCAAAAGGGACATTTGATGCTGGGTAAGGGTCAACTAAATTAATTACTCTCTCTTTCTTTCCCTCTGTCCCTCCTACCCACCTGAGACTGTGATGCAGAAGAAGGGGATCTAAGAAAAAAGAGAAAAGAGGAGGCAGAAGCCATGCAACGGAGGCATTCGGAAAGGGAGGTCATGGCCCAGTGGAGGTGAGGTGAGAAGCCTAAGAGAAAAGCTGACTCCTGAGAATGACAAGGGGACTGGAGAAGGAGCAGGAACTTAAGCTGAGGTGGGACGGCTGGAGTTGCTGTGGGAACCCAAACGTCATCTCCACGTCCCAGGAGACCTGGTCACTCCTGCTGCATGCTGGGTGCCTGTGCTTCCTCACCTCCCTGCACAAACCCCTCGTCACCTGTTTCAACCTAAGGGTAACTCTGTTCCATGTAACCTAAGAGAGAAGAGCTAATACCCTGTCATTATCTGAAACAAAACTCGGGAACGGGTAAGATTCCATTCAGCTAATTCCAAAGTACCAGTGGCTCCCTTCTAGGTTTGTTAAGCTTTTATTTACATTTATTTATTTCAATACACAGTTCTAACTAACAGTAGTACTGAGGTTGGACCTCTCTAATTTCAGCATCCTATGGGCTAAAATGAAACCATCATGAATATACTGAATTTCTTCCAAGTCTGCTAGGGAAAGTCCTTTTATAAACTGTGAATTCTACTGGGGGAAACATGCTCTTTCACAGAAATCTATTGGCCATGGGTGCTGGCACTGCCACTGAGGGCTGTGTGACCCTGCTCTAGTGACCTCCTCCCTCTCCCCCACCCAGTGCCACTCTTTTCTCCTGAGGAATCTCCTTTATTTAGCGTGTCATTTTTAATCTCAAGAGATGAGACCGAGGTGAACTTCTACTCCAACAGGCTGCATGTGAAATGTATAACACAGTGGTTCTTAAAATTAAAAAAGAGAAGTGGAACATCCCTTCTTCACGTGAAATCTCATGTGGAATGTCAACTTACGAAACAGGGAAGAGCTAAAAGGAGGGCGGGACCACCTCTCGCCCCAGCATCTCCTCCTCACCACCTGTCCCCCTCGGTCTCTTCCCCCACCCCAGACCCCTGTGACACCACGTGCATTCACAGGGCCCTTAAGGGTCCCTATAAAGCCACGGAGTTGGGAGCACTGTAAAAATCTCTGCTGTCTTAGCAATTGAAATTCCATTCGTTGAAGGCAAGAGAGGCTAAGAGCAGAAATGATTCTTATGATTTCCACAATCAATTATTTTTCTTAAATCTCCCAGACACACTCTTCTCTCCATGAGTGGACGCAGACGACCCACATGCCTGCTGGTTTTCAGGTTACCTGAACATGATCTCGTATTTCCCACGGTTCTTCAGTTGTAGGGGCTGCTTCACCTCCTCCATGACCCTCACAATCCCAAAATCAAGGCCTCCTTCGGCTCCTGCAGAGGCCAGGGCGGGGTTGGGGAGGGGTGAGAGGGGATGACAGAGAGAAGCAGCGGAACTTCCTATTGACATTCGCATGGAGAATTCATGATGACAATTTCAGAGAATTCGTTTTCTGAAAACATCATGGCTAGAAAAACCTCTTCTAACTGAGTCTTAGTAAGCAAACAACAGACCCTGCTCTCACACCCAGTTCAACAGGGCAGTTCCCTTTGGCTTCTATCCTAGGACCACTGTCCTTCCTTTTATGTCTCCCATTAGCTAAAACTTAAAAAAAGAATTTGTATCAGATGTTTACTACACACAGTTTGGACATTACACATAAATTTATATTGCTTTACTTAGCGTTACATCGCAAGCATTTCCACACATAAAAACCCCTCACTGATGTGATCTTAATGGTCGCATAACATATCATGATATGACTGTTCCATAATTTACAGTATTATTCCTACAATATCTTTGTACATAAGACTAATGACATTTCGGCAAAAATGTAGCTATAACTTCCTATGGATCCTGAGGAAACCTGTCGGAGATAGGAGGGATAATGGAAAAATGCATGCTAAAGTGAGGGATCTAACTTAGGCATTGGGGCAGTGTAGTAGGCAGAATGATGCCACCCCTACCCCAGCCCCAGTGATGTGCACTGTCCTAACTCCTGGAACCCGTGAATATGCTAGTTTACATGGCAAAGGGGAAGTAAGGTATCAGATGGAATTTGGGTTGCTTATCATCTGACTTTAACATAAAGAGATAGATTATCCTGGATTCTCTGAGGGGCCAATGTAATCACAAGGATCCTTAAAAGCAGAAGAGGGAGATGAAAACTCGAGGACCATTGAGATGGCAGTGTGAGAGGGCTTGACCCGACCTTGCTGGCTTTGAAGGTGGAGGAAGGGACTATGAGCCAAGGAATGTAGGTGGCTTCTAGAGGCTAGAAAAGGCAAAGAAATGGATTCTTGCCCAGAGCCTCTAGAAAGAAATGCAGCCCTGCCAAAACCTCGATTTTAGCCTAGTGAGATTCATTTCAGATTTTCTGACCTATGGAACTGTCAGGTACTGAATCTGTATTGTTTTAAGCCACAAAAGTTGTGGTCATTTGTTATAGCAGTGATAGAAAACAGGCAGGAAGACAGGTGCTCACCCTCAGATGACTGTTCAGAAAAGAGCTCTGTGAAGTTTATCCTTGTGACCCCCTCCCCGCTAGCCCTGTCATCTCCAGTTGAGATCCACAGTAAGGTTGCTAACATCACTCAGGCTTGCATTACTATTTACCGAAATTCTACCTGCTCCCCGACAATCCCTCGTCTTCCTCTTTATAGGAAATACATTACACTAAAAGATGTGACTTGAAGGGGTCAACAGACCTTTGGGGAAGGTGATGTCCAAGGCGATGTCGTAGGACTCTGCAAAGACCATGATGTTTTCAAACTGAACAACTCCCACAATATTCTCCGTGTCTAACACCTGTTGGGGTAAGAAATTCTTCAGTAAAAGCAAGACCCACGAGGTGTTTGGAGTCTGAATTATGTAACATGCAGTGGGGATCAAGAAGATGTGGTACGAAATATTTTAGAAATGTATTTAGCTTTTGTCTTCATTGAGCATTTGGTAGGATTAGTGTTGTTGCTAACACCCTTTGGGGAATGCTGGTGTAGACAATCAACATAAGAATGAGGAAAAGAGGCTGCATTTTCTGTCATTTTCTTTCTGGTCCAACTACTGGGTTTAAATCATTTGCATGATTGTTGCTACATTACTGAAGATTGGACTGTGAATATACATCACAGAAAAGTATTCTTTAGAACCTTTAAAAAAAACCCTGAAGAATATTTTTCTGACAGTGGCAATGGAAAACTTGTATATACTTAATCATCTTTGCTCTACTAATTTTATAAATCTCAATTGTTCTGTTCTTTGTTTCTGGCTCAACGTGCGGAAAAAGTGCTAGATTTTTCATATAAAATAAGTGTTTAATGTTTCTCTTTTAAAAATTTCAAATGTTTTATTTATGTGAACATCATTATTAAAGTTGGAAATGTAAAAAAATATAATAATAATAATAAGCAAGACCGCAGCCTCCAGTTGCTCGGTGTCCTCTCCATTATCATCCCTGGTGGTAATTCCTCCCTGAATGTTCTGAGGAACATCTACACTGGCGTCAGATGCCAGCTGGACTCAACTGTTGACTCTTGAGACCAACGAAGGGGTGATAAAGGGTCTGTATGTCAAGGTGAGGAGCCTTTGGGTAGTGGGCATGGCTTTCCTGCTTCTGCCTGAAGGGCACCTGCCTCTCTGCTGAAGCCTCAAGTTGAAAAACTAAGTCACCACTCCCCATTACTTATGTTTTGGATGCCAAGTTTTAACTCAGAGATTCCATCTTTTCTTTCATCAAGCATTTAACCAACGTCTCGCAGAACAAATTGGACCGACTTCCATTTTACCTTCTTTCTTTTGCTGCCTACCCTCTTACAGAGATGACAAGAAGAAAGGCTGACAGGAAAAATAGGTCAAAGAACTTGGAACTTGGACTATCAGCTCCAGAATTTACACAGTACTTTTCTACTGATAGATGCCAAGTACCCAAAACATTTTATTCCCTTTGCTTCTTCACAGTGCGCGCGCTGTGTGTGTGTGTATGTTTGATTAAATTTTGTAATTGAAGAAAATGGGGATTAAATTTTATAATTGAGGAAAATGGGGAGGACAATTTAAGAGGTACACAAATAAAAAAATGAGTTTACCAGGACACTTTCCAAAGGGACCAGAAAGCAAGGCATTTCCTTGGGTAGATGTTGAAGGGATACAGTCTATGGGAGAGAAGTCTTAGGGCACTTTGGGGAGCCTGAGGGGAGACGCACTGTGTCTGCTTTCGCTGGAATATACAGGGAGGCCATGTCAGTTGTTAAAATACAGAAATGTTTCTATAACGGCTGGGAAACAGCTGTTACGATGACCTTTCCAAATATCCCTTTGCTGACTGCCTCCCACACCGCCTCTACTGTGAGAACCTGGAATCCCCATGATCCAGCAACCGAAGGACAAAGCCAGTATAGCTGGGACCCTCCACCAGCCATGTGGCCTGGGCCCCCTGTGCAGAGATCTGTGTTCACGTGGAGACTGGTGTTACAAATCTTTGACTCTCACCTTTGGGCTCACACACATTCGTGGATTGAATAAACCTATCAATATATGTTTTCAGCTACCTAAAGTCATGGGTAGGTAATAAGAGAGACTGATCCATTCACTGGATCCAAAAGGTAAGAAAAGGACTAATTTGTGCAAATTACAGGGAGGAATCTGAACTCAACCCAAGGAAGAACTGACAGTCAGACCTGTTCAAAGGAAGATCAGGCTGCTTGGAGTGTTGGTAAGTTTTCTATCCCTGGAGGTATTTAAGGAGAAGCTTGGATGACCCCTTGATTGTTGCATAATTGGTTCAAGCATCAAAGATCAGTGATATTTGTTCATTCATTCATTTGCCAGATTCTACCAAGTGCCCTCTACATTCAGGCCTGTGCTAATAACACTAGGGTACATGATGGGGTAATGGGTTGAATGGTGGTCCCAAAAAGGTATGTTTATGTCTTCATGCTTGGAATCTACAAATGTAATTTTATTTGGAAAAAGAATCTCTGCATAGGTAATTGTTAAAGATCTTGAGATGAGACCATCCTAGATTATGTAGGTGGGCCCTAAATCCAATAATAAGTGTCCTTATAAGAGACAGAAAAGGAGAGGACACAAGCAGAGAAGAAGGCCATGTGAAGATGGAGGCAGAGACTGGAGTGAGGCAGCCACAAGTCAAGAAACACATGGAGCCGCCAGAAGCTGGATGAGGCAAGGAAGGATTCTCCCCTAGAGGCTTCGGAGGGGACATGGCCCTGCAAACACCTTGATTTCAGACTTCTGACCTCCAGAACTATATGAGAATAATGTCTGGGGTTTTAAGCCACTCGGTTTACGGCCCATTATTAGAGCAGCCCTAGGAAACCAACGCAGAGAACGGACGAGTCAGGGGAGATCTTGCTCCATGGGCGTTCACATAAGAAAGTAAAGAAAGAAACAGGATAACATCAGCAAGGTAGTGCTCTGAAGGACAGAAGACAGGGTGAGTGAGTGACAAATAGGAGATTCCCACGATGGGAGGATTAGGGGAACCCTGTCGAAACAGTGCTGTCTGACAGATCCTAAAGTAGGAGCCATCTCCCCACAGAGCCTAAGGTTAGTAGGAAAAAGCTGAGAGACCATGTGCTGGGAGCCGGTGAGCAAGAACGAGGGTGGAGTGACGTGCAGATGTAGAGGCAGGTGGGACTTCAGGAGCAGGTGACCCTGGGCTTTGTTCTTATTGCAGCTGGATGCCAGCAGAATGCTTTAGGAAGGACAATGACTAACATTTTGATGATCTCTCTGGACTCTTGTGGGGACTACAAAGAGGGAAACCAGTTAGGATGCCTCTGCAGAAGTCCAGGTGATAGATGCTGCAGGTGGCCTGGACGAGGGTGGTAGTGGCAGTATAGACAGAGAAGTGGATGGACAGGAGACACATGCGAGACATAACTGACGGGACTTGCTGGAGGACAAGGTTGGAGGGGAGGCTGTCAGGAAAAGGAGGAATTAAGGATGATTCCTAGGTGTCTGTGGGAACAACTGGGTGAAGGGTGACCTTTCCCGAGATAGTAATGTGAGAGGTGACTGGGTTGGGGTGTGAAATCAGGAATCTAATGCTTGCTTAGGGACAGTAACACCATTCATTCATTCATTGGCTCTGCGCTGATTGAGTGCTCTGCTCTTGGCACTGGGAAATCAGCCATCAACGACATTGCCTTTATGGAGCTTCTAGTATGTGCACAGCAAGATATTGTGGGTTGGAGGTTGTCAAATGGGGATCGGATGGGAGTGTGTAACAGGGAGACCTGGCTTAGCGTGTGGTGTGTGTATGTGTGCGTGTTGGTAACATGGGTGTTTGTGTGTTGGCAGTGTGTATGTGTCAGGGAACCCGACGTGTACATATGAGACCTGGCTTAGCGTGTGGTGTGTGTATGTGTGCATGTTGGTAACATGGGTGTTTGTGTGTTGGTAGTGTGTATGTGTCAGGGAACCCTACGTGTACATATTTCGACGACCGAGTCTGAAGATGTGCGAGGGCTCACCTCCAACCGAATGGTCTTCTTGATATTGACAGGTTTGGAGGGCTGGAAGTGCAGCTGCAGGCTGTACTCGCCCTTGGGCGGGATGGTGCCCTGCATCATGGACGCACTGAAGTCGTCGCCCAGATGCTCCAGGCTGGTGACCCGCCAGGCCACGGGCAGTGGTGTCACGTTGCGGAGAACAACTATCTTGGACTCTTTTCTGCAGGGACCGAAAGACATTTTGTTAGTTGCAAATGATTTTGATTTATTACGGCAGGTCAGGAAAAGTAATTCCGGTTATTTCAATCATTGTTTAGTAATCAGCATTTATCAGGGAATGGGTCCTGATGGTATTGATTAAAGAATGAAGGATCCATATAATATCAACATTCTCTCCCAGCAGCCCCAGACATAAACATTCTCTATTTAGAATAATACGATTCCAGTGAATGAATATGTAAGTTCTAGTTTTGGTCTAATGTTTTCTGTTTGTACTTTCTAGACCACATATTCTTAACTTTTTAGGATAATGGACTGCTTTGAGAATCTGGAAAATTCTAGTTCTTCTGAGAAAAATGCAAATATGTGTACACTTTAGTAGTTGATCTCGGTGGGGATGGGAGTGGGGCGGCTTGACCCTGCTGAAGTCCAGCTTAAATCAACAGGGTTACTATCCATCCTGATTGGTACCGGACCAGAAGTTTCTCATTACACAGGACTTTCAGTGCTAAAACTTGGAAAGTCCTGAATAAATCAAGATGAGTTGGTCACCCTAGAACTAAATATTCTTTAAATTCCATTCCAGTCCTGGTGTCACCCTGAACTCTGACCTATGCAGCAGGAGACGGTCAAAATGCAATTGCTTGGGTTCCAGCTCCAGTTCTGGGCGGATCCCCTGGCAGCTTAATTGGAAGATGGCTGGCTCGGGGTTCTCCTTGATGCAGCAGACAATGCTATCTTCAAAGACTCCAACTGCAGTAGGGTAGGCCCATACGTTCAGCATCTAATGGAAGAGTTAAAACAAAGTACATTTGTACTGAGAATGCCAAGGCCTCAAAATTTTCCAAGAAAGCCTTGCCCTGGTAGGCTAGTTTCCACGGGACTGTACCTGCTTCTCATTGGGTTTTAGAATCATGTTGTTGGGCTCCAGGAAGTAGGTGCTCGCTTTGACATCATTCTGAAATGTGAAGAACACCTCCACGACCATTGGGGAGTTGTTCAGGATCGTCAGTGTCTCCATGTTGCCTGGGAACAAGGACGACTTGTATCTGGAAATGAATGAGAATTAGGGCTAAATTAGGGATGTGGGTGTGAGAAATGACTGAGAGCTCAGGTGGAAAAGGAGATTGTCAGGTGCAAAGCAATTCCAAAGGACAGTGTGGTTACACTGTGGCTAAGAACACAAGCTTCGTAGTTATGAAGACTTGTAGCTGTGACCTGATTCCCCAAAGCCTTGGTCTCCTCATCTCTAAGATGAGATGACGACGCCTCTTAGGATTTCTGTGAGTATTAAATGAAATAGTGCACCCAGCTCTTAGGATAGCTGTAGATATTAAATCCTCGATGAATGGTAGTTATTATTGCAAAGAATCCTAATTGGGAAATATACAGCTTTACCCTTCCCAGTGCCTATACTCCCAGGAGTGATGATCATTTGAGTAACTTGTCATTTCACATCTGTCTTAGAGACGGCTTCATTCACCGCCTTCTACACCCACACAGGATGTTACTGTTCCACCGTGGATTCATTTGGCACTGTTCAGTGGCACCGTTCCTCGGTGCCTTAGGAAGACAGACACAGAGTTGAGCAGCATGGGCACTGGAAGCTGCTCAGTTAATGACTGAACAGAAAAGAAACCATGGAAAACACAAGAAATGCCAGTAAAGATGTGCACCATCAGAGATCATAGCACAGGTCAGGAAGGCAGGGCACCATAGTAACCGCTGGTGCCCAGAAACAGTCAGAAAACCTTTTTGAACAGGCTGTGGTGGAGCAAGGAAGGAGAGTGCATGGCAGAGACTAACTCAGAGTCAAAGAGACAGAACACGCTCCGTGTGACTGCCAAAGGGGACGGGGACTCCCTTCACATCCAGCTGGCGACCACCACCACCCAGCCCCGCGCTAAGTTTCACGTGCACTATCCAGCGCGGTCTTCTCACATCTTTGAGATGGGTGCTACCATTTTCCCATTTTGCAAATGAGGACATTGAGGCTCAGTAAGGTTTAGAAGAATACATGAATTATACCTAGTTGCACCGGTCCTTGGGCCACTGCAATTGTACACCTCCTGGATCAGCGCTGTTTGGCCCCAGATCCTAGCTAATTCCAGTGCCGTCCTGAACACACGCCTCTCTGAGTGGCCGTCATTTCCCTGACTCCTGGGCTTCGCTCTATCTCATGTCCATCAACTTGACCCACACTCCTTCTCTCTCCTAAGCCCTTCTGCTAGGCTTGAAAACCCTCTCCATTATCAGCAAACCCTCTTCACCTTCACTTTCTAGTTCAGCATCTCAGGAAACAAACTGAAGGTATTGAAGAAATGGAGAGCAAAGACGGCTCATTAGTTCCACCAAGTTAGCACAGAAATAGACCCTCTCTGCTCATCACAATAAATGCTAGATTGAATGAAGACATGATGAGACCTTGGTTCCAGTGGTGGTCTCACCTGCCTGTACAATAAGAAATTTGTATATAACTGAAAAAAACTAGTATTGCCAAAAATGTATGGTCATCAACCTCACCTAGGCCTCCAATTCTACCTGCTAATCTTACTTTATTTCTCCAATATTCTCCCTCTTCCACTTTCCACTGAAGCTGTTTCATACCTGCTCCATTTCCTCAACGTTCCTAACTTCCCTCCACTTCGCTCCCTGTTAGTAATGACCTCACCTCATTCGCTAAGGAGAACACAGAATAGTTGCACGGGAACCTCCTCACTGCACCAACTGAATCTGTAAACCTGAAGCGCTCCCACCTCTGTCCCTCTTCACACGAGATGACGTCCCTCTTCCCAGCAAAGGCCAGCTCTACACATCCCGTGGTGTTGTCTCAGGGAGCTGATGGCCCTTACGTTCTCCTGAAACGCCAACCTTTTCCTCCATACTTCCCCTTGGCATCCAAACATTGCAAGGACAACGGTGTACGGACAGCCTTCCCCAGACTCCACGTCTCCCTCCCACTGTCAGCCCCTCCAGCTCCCTTCACAGCTGAGCTTCTCCAAAGAGCTATCTTCATGCCCTGTCTCCGTTTCCTCACCTCCCACTGCTCCCCAGTCACTTCACTCAGGCTTCATCCTCAACCACCCCGAAAGGGCTCCTGCTAAGGCCCCTTGGGGACCCCATGTTGTTGAACCCCGTGGGCACTGACGTCCTCATCTCCTTGCCCTCTCTACAGCATTCGGCACTGCTGGCCACAGCCCCGTTGTTGCTCCACGATGCCACCCTTTTAACTGGGCCCAGCAGCAGCCCTGGCCCTCTTGCTCAGCTCCTTTGCTGGCTTTAACTCTTGTGAGTGGTGAAGTTCTTCGCGGCTCCATCTGTGGTCTTTTTCTCCGTACTGCATCCTCTCTTCTTAGGCGACCTCGCCCATGCCCATGGCTTGAAGACAGGCCTCTGTCCTCTGAGAACCAAAGCTGTATAGCCTATTCCCTGCTTTATGTAGCTACTAACTCCTCTGTCTTCTAAGAGTCTATAACTTAATGTATCCCGAATGAACTCTTGATCCTATCCTTCCCCCACTGAAATCTGGTTGTCTTCCAGGCCTTGCCATCTGGGAAAATGGCACCCCCATTCATCTGAAACTTGGGGTACAAAACCCAGTTCTCCTAATTTGAGGTTCAGGGACAGAGGCAGCGTTAGTAAAAACTATGTCTACATAGGAATTCTGCTTGTATTATTCATGAGTCCAGCCCGGGGGTCTGAAATCTGCTTTAAGATAACAGAGCACTTACTTATCTCTTGATTTTCCACAAAGCAGTGGCCCGAAGTAAAACCTCTCCATGCTCATAACATACTTCTTAAAGATGATTTCATTTGTCTTCATGTCCATCTTCCGCTGAGGGAATACCACTCTGAGTACAGGGGCGGAAGAGAAGAGGCTGCCTGAGTGGAAGGTCAGTGCCACCACCAGATGCTTACATGAATCCAACACTCCCTGTTCAGCAAAACCTCCGGGTGTAGGACACGGAATGATTCGTAATGTGAGGACCTTTGTTGAGCCTTATTCCTGTTCCCTCCCTTCCCCTAGTCCCAAGCAAAAACAGTCCAGTTTGAACTTGAGGAAAAAGATTCCCACTGGCGCCTTTTATAATGAGGGGCTGATGATAGAGCTTAGTTGGATTTCCTGTTTTTGTGTGTCAGCTACAAAAATTCCTGAAAATTCCTATTGGAAGCTAGTTCTGGTGAATATTAACTAGCTTCTGAGTTCCTTGTCCAACATGGCTCCTTAGTCAGAATTACAAAAAAGCTCCTCTTGGTGGACAGCTATGAAAGGCCTGCCCCACCAGACTGCTCAGCCAGGTGCCTTTATGTGGTGCACAGGGGACTCAGAAGAAAGCCTGCCTATGGAGAGTCACACCTGTATTCATATTGTAGGCCAGAAAAAAATCCTACAGTAAACATACAATTTTAAAAAATTTGCTTAACAGTTAAATAAGCAAACTAACGTAGCAGAAGAAGACTTTCCCCCTCTTCACACCTGTTACCGC